CCTTTTTCAAAGGGGAAATCTGGATACTGGAAAAATGCTGTGTTGACACACAGAGATTGGGGTGATGCTCCCAGGAGGATTTAGCCAAACGGTGCCAAAGATAGTCAACAAGCCCCCACAAGAGAGGAATGCCTTGGAGGAAGTTCTCCTTCCCAGTCCTCCGTCCCTGCCAACAGCGGCTTTGGGCAGTTAGCCCGGGGAGGGTGGGGATTCCCAGGTAGCCACCTATCTGCAGCCCTCTGTGACACAGGCCTGGGGTGCTAGCACAATTGCTTTAGGCTCAGCCATTCTCTTGATTTCCCCACTACATCCGTGGCACCCCTCCTCCTCTGGCATCTCCCTCCTCCAGCTGGGACACAGCTCTTCTCTGCTCTAGATGTTGCTTCATGTCAGAGCTCAACTCACCCATTTCTTTCCTTTTTATAATTTTAAAAAAATTTTTAATGAGAGGCTGGAGCAATAGCACAGCAGGTAGGGTGTTTACCTTGCACACAGCCAACCTAGGTTCTATTCCCAGCATCCCATATGGTCCCCTGAGCACCGCCAGGAGTAATTCCTGAGTGCAGAGCCAGGAGTAAACCCTGTGCACCGCCGGGCGTGACCCAAAAAAGCAAAATATAAACAAACAAATAAATAATAAATTTTTAAACGAATCTCCATGATGTGCAGTTACAGACTTACAAACTTTAATGATTACGTTTCAGTCCTAAAATGATCGAGCACCTGTCCCTCCACCAATACCCGTTCTCCACCACCAATGTTCCCAGTATCTCTCCTGCCACCCCCACCCCAACCCCCCCACCTGCCTCTGTGGCAGGCTTTTTGGAAAACAATATGGACGTTTCTCAAAAATCTAGAAATTGAGTTACCATTTGACCCAGCGATACCACTTCTGGGAATATATCCCAGAGATGCAAAAAAGCATAGTAGAAATGACATCTGCACTTGTATGTTTATTGCAGCACTATTTACAATAGCCAGAATCTGGAAACAACCCAAGTGCCCGAGAACAGATGATTGGTTAAAGAAAGTTTGGTACATATACTCAATGGAATATCACCGTTTCTTTTTCCCTGCTCTCTAATCTGCATCATGTCATCACTCCACGGCAGGAGATGATTCCAGAACTACACCTTGAGACAGACCACTCTCATAACCTTCAGAGCCCGTTACCCACTTCTCTCCACTTGGGCTGTCTCCACAGCAACTCAAATGTGCATAAGCAGACTTTGGAATTCAGTTCAAACCCTCATCCTCACCAATGCTCCTGTATCCCACTCTCCCTGGCCTGTCATGGCTCTAAATTCAGGACATTTTTCTTTCTTTTTTTTTTTGTTTTTGTTTTTGGGCCACCCCTGGTGTTTTTCAGGGTTTTCTCCTGGCTCTGCACTCAGGAATCACTCCTGGTGGGACTTGGGGGACCATATTTGATTTCAGGGATTGAACCCGGGTTGGCTGTGTGCAAGACAAGTGCCCTGCCCACTGTACCAGTGCTCCAGCCCCTCAGCTTACTTCATTTTTGCCATCTTTCTCTGAACTCTGAAATGGGGTCTCCTGGGCCTCCTCTGTTTCTCTTCTCCCTGGGGACCCCCACTCTCTTCCCCAGCCCTCACCACCCCACTCCCTCAGGATGGTTCACATTTCTATCCCAATTTGGCCAAGAAATTTTCTTAAATCAGAAGCTTGCCAGATTCAAGTTCAAACTTTTAAAGGGCCCACTGGGACTTGTCCAGAACTTAGTAAACCTGACCCACTTATAGAAACCCCACAGGTACTGTGCCCTACCCTTATAACCCCCTTGGAGGCACCCCCTAAAATGGCTCAGCATGAGACATGGCTGCACCCCAAGTTGTGAAAACTACCCAGCTAAATGCTCGAGCACGAATTACAGAATCACAGCATCTCCCTCCTCCAGCTGGGACACAACTCTTCTCCGCTCTAGTAGTTCTGAGGCATCACAGAGCTTGTTTGCTCTCTCAGAGATGGGCCTAGAGGCGGCTGGAGCAGTAACACAGTGGGCAGGGTGCTTGCCTTGTGGGCAGCCGACCAAGGCTTGATCCCCGGCATCCCATCTGGTTCCCCGAACACCACCAGGAATGGGAGTGCAGAACCAGGAGTAACTTCTGAGTCTTACTGACTATGGCTACTCCCACCACTCTCACCAATAAAATAAAATAAAATAAAATAATAATAAAGAGAAAAGAAAAGAAACGGGCCTGGATTGGTAGGTAGCAAATGTCTTACATGCAGAGGATATAATCTTAAGAGTCCCTCAGCCCACTAAGGGGCCAAATGCCTAAATCACACCAGTAGGGTTAGTAGGGGTCAATGGGGACCAATCACTTAATGGCATAATAAAGAACAGGAAAGAAGAATAACACTAGATGTATAAAAGCCATGTTTCTCAACCTCTTTCTGACCTTCACCCCCTTCCGACTTTCCAATGCCCCCATCCTAGAATACTTGTTCCCCTAGTCTCATGCCCTGGACCCCCATTTACGTGATTTTTACCTGTGGCCCCTAGGAATACCCTGAGGGTGCCCAGTTAAGAAACGCTATAATAAAGCACTCTAAAAACCACTAAATATTCGACCAATTAAAAGATTCCCATTAAACACTACCTAGGAGGAGAAATGAGTCAAATAAACCTGAATTCATTCAATATCAGGATCCAAGGGTTGGAGAAATTACAGGGGTTCAAGTTCTTCCCTTGAATGCAGTTGACCCTGGCTTAGTCTGTGACACTGCATGGTTGTGGGAGCAACCCCAGAGCACTGCTGGGCACAACCCAACCCCCGCCCTCCTCCCCCAAACAAATTCCAGATCCATCGCTGTGTGCAAGTAAGACAAGTAAGTACCTTACCTCTCTGATTTTCAGTTGCTTCCTCTATAAAATGAGAATAAAACCCACTTGATCAGGTTGTGTGAAATGATTTCACTGACACATTTAATGCCTACAGTGGAGAGCACAGTACATATCTAAGGCAGTTTGTAAAATCACAACTATCTTTTCCATCACTTGATCACTTGATTAACCTGAACATACTAATATTGCCTTATCAGTAGAGTGATAGCAAGCAGGTAAGGCACTTGCCTTGCACGTAGCTGACCCAGGTTCAATCCCCAGCATTCCATATGTCCCCTGAGCACCGCCAGGAGTAATTCCTGAGTGTAGAGCCTGGAGTAAGTCCTGAGTACCACCAAGTGTGACCCCTGCCCACCAAAACAGTCCAAGAGCGCTGAAGAGATAGTACAGTGGGCATGGGTGTTTGCCTTCCATGTGGCCAGCCCAGGTTCCATCCCCAGCATGCCATAGGGTCCCTCCAGAATTGACTTCTGAATGCAGAGCCAGGCATAACCCCTGAGCACCACAGTATGGCCCCAAAGCCAAATGAATAAATACTGCCTGACTTGAAAAAATAGCACTGTTTTTCTCAAATGTCATTTATTAGAAAATACAATTCCAGAGAAAGTAGGAGACGCAGGGTACGGGGAGTAGGTGCAGTACATGGATTTGATGGGGCACGCGGAGGGGCAGAATAAAGTGAGCCCCAGGCAAAAAAACCCAGAGCCCATCCCTGGTCCGTTCATCAGCAGTCAGCTGGGGATTTCACTCTGGAAGAAACGTTTTTTTTTTCCTCCAGCTATGGAATGAGTTGGCGGTGGGAGTTTAACCAACTGAGCTGGTGAGGGTGCCACGCCGGGTGAGGGTGGCTGGTTCTGCATCGTCCTGTTTCACCGCCCGCCGGTTCTGGTTTACACACTCGCAACACATCCAAAGTCTCTCCCTCATTTTTCAGAGAAGACCACTTTGGAGTGAAGTGCACGGGGGAACTGCAGATGCACCGAGTAGGGAATGAAGCGTATGAAGACGAGAGTCTCACCCTCCCAGCTCAGCTCCGGGGGAGTGGGGAGTCACAGGTGGCTCCCATCCTGCGTCCTCGAAGCCAAAGAAAACTCCTGGAAAAGGGCTCTGACTCCCACACGTGTCCTCCTTACTGGCAGGGCATCCCTTTGGCTCCAGACTAACAAGGTTTCTGGCCCCATGGAAAGAGGGAGCTGCTTTATCAAAAGTGGGACAGAGAGGGAGTTGGGGAGACAGCAGCACAAAAAAAGAGTGTGGGGTGGGGGGCACCCCAGGAATTGCCCAGCTGGTGGCCACACTGGCTTCAGCCACTCCCTCGAGGCCCCGTTGCAAGGCCTCGAGATGCCCTTGAGTGAAAGGGAGGCTCAGGGGGGGAGGCAGAGCTGAAGAGAGACCCCATGAGGTCTTTGGGGGGCTGGGTAGGGCTGGCTGAATGGCGGGGAGAAGCCAGGAAAAGCAGAAGACAGAAGAACACGCCCATCAAGGGTCCCGTCCAGGAACGGGGTCTCTGGGGAGCCAGGTAGGGCCCATCCTCGCACACGTCGCTCTCCTTTGGAGGCAAAATCCAAGGGGCCTCGGCACAGGGCATCCTCCCCACACTCCCCCTGCCCTTCGAGTGGGGGGGCGTCCAAGCGAGGACCCACCAGGCCTCTCCCCCACATTCCCCACAGGTAGAAAACCAAACCCGAACCGCACACGCCCGGGGCCCAAGGGAAAGACCGGTCAGAACCCTGATCCCCCCAGCCCCCAGTCTCCCTCTTCTATTCTGCCTTCTGGGACATAATTAGTCCCCGCTCACGAGGCGTCCTGAACAGTGAGGACAACACAACTATTTCATTTTTTAAAAATAAAAATAAAGATGTGTCCCCTCCCCACCCCACCCGCTGCCTGCTACTTCATACCACCCCCCCTCCCCGCCCCTCACACCCCAAACCAGAGGTTGCCCCCTTGACACAAGGTAAACTTAAAACGTCGCTGCGACCTCACAGCCTCCCTTGTGGCTGCTCATCGCAGCCAACCCAGGTTCCGTGTTGCGGAGCCGGTGACAGCGGAGACCGCCTCGCGCCGGCGTCCCACACCGAGGACCCCACCCCTGGCGACAGCAGGGCCCTGGCCCTTCAGCAGGGCAGGCCACTCCCCCAGCTCCACCACCAGCCTGGGTGCCCAGGCCAGGGCTGTCCGGGGCTCACGGGGTCTCGTGACTGCGAGATCCCAGCGCGAACCAGCCGGTCTTCTGGGCCAGGTCGAGCTCGCGCAGACGGATGCGCACCTCGCCGAGGAGGACGTTCTCCCAGAACCCTTGCTCGCTCAGCACGCTCAGCTGCAGCTCCCGCTGCTGCAAGTCGCCCTGCGGGATTCCGTCATACACCAGCTGCGAAGGAGACGGGGCGGTGAGAGAGAGAAGAGAGAGAACCTGGAGAGGCCCCGGGGCCAGGGAGGAGGCAGAAGGCACTTGGTTTCGCGTGGCCCAGGCCCAGCCCACTGCATCTTCCTCTCCAGAGAGCGAGGGACTTGGCTCCCTGCTCAGAGTCCAAGTCCTCTGCAAGCTTTTTTTTATTGGGGCCATGGTTCATAACTGGAGTTGGTCGAGTCCAGGCCACACCCCAGCTCTGCATCCCCACCCAAAAGGGCAGTGAGCGCTTGGCGCCCAGGCTCAGACTGTCTTTCAGGCTCAAGAAGCCGGACGGGGCTGGAGTGAAAGCACAGCGGGTAGGGCGTTTGCCTTGCATGCGGGTGACCTGGGTTCGATTCCCAGCATGCCATATGGTCACCCGAGCACCGCCAGGAGTAATTAACCCCTGTGCATTGCCTGGTGTGACCCAAACCAAAAAGAAAAAAAAAAAAGACGCTGAACGATCCTCAAGCCAGCCCCCTGCTGCATGGTGAATGCTGATACAGGGTCGTGGAGATCCTGGGTTCCATCCCTGGCACCATCTGCCCTTTCCCACCAGCAGCGCTGGGTGAGGCGCAAAAAAGCCAGAGGAAAAGAGAAAGTAGAGGCTGGAGAGATACACAGTGGGTAGGGTGTTTGTCTTGCATGCTGCCGACCTGGGTTCGATTCCCAGCATCCCATATGGTCCCCCTGCACCGCCAGGAGTAATTCCTGAGTGCAGAGCCAGGAGTAACCACTGTCCATCGCCGGTGTGACCCAAAAAGCAAAAAAAAAAAAAAAAAAGAGAGCAAGAGAGAGAGAAAGTAGCCACAGATCAAGGTGGTGTGGCCACGTTCTGATACAATTTAATGTCCCCCCAAACGGGCAGAGTCTGCTGCCAGTCCCAGCACCACATACCATCTCATTGTAGGTGGGGTTGCAGGTCTTCCGGGCCACCTTGGTTTTCTTCTTAGTGGTTTTCTGGGGGTCAGGAAGGAGGTAAATCTTCACATAGGGGTCAGGGTCATTCCCATCCTGGAGCGGTTGCTACAAATAGAATTTTTTAAAAAGGGGGAGAGGGGAAAAAGATTGGGTTGGAGTGATGGAACAGTGGCTAAGGCACTTGCCTTACATGGATCCCTGACATCCCACAGGGCCCCCTGGACTCTGTCAAGAGTAATTCCTGAGTGCAGAACTAGGAATAATCTCTGAACATCACCAAGTGCGGCCCCCAAAGCAAAACAAAACAAACCCACCCCCCCCCAAAGATGAAGATGTACATTCTCTTTCTCTCCATTCCTGCCATCCCTCTCATTTCTCACAGCGCACCTTTAATTTACTGCCCACTTCTGGCTTCTCCTCATTCTGACAGAATTGTCTCCTGTGGCTATCAGGCTGCTCAGCCTAGTCCCCCGAAAACTCCCCTGAGCTTAGGAATGCTCAGCGCAAGCCAGAGCTCTGTCTAGTCAGAATGAACCATCACATGCCAGAGTCCTCCTGTCATTCTAAAACTTCCATTTATGCTGTCGTTTGACCCAGGTAGCCCCAGAGAGGCAGGGACGTGAGTCAGAGAGAGGAGGTGCTTCCTCGAGCTTGGCCGGTGAGTCACTCATCCAGGCTGACGTTTGGAGACTGACCCTGGATCTGATCACGTCCCTGGCTCTGATCTCACTGAGGGAAGCAGCCGCCGTCCAGACCACAGGCCCTGATCTGTGGGTCCCTGCAGTCTTCTCCTGTGTCATGACCCCAGTACCCCACTCCTGTACCTCACTGTGCTCCCCCGCTGCTTCGGACATATGACTGGTCCCCTGCCCTGCCCTGTGCTCCCCACACGGGCTCCTGACTCAGGACTCAGGGAGTGACTTGCTCCCTGGGTCAGGAATGAGCCTCCAGAGGTTACCACATGGCCCCTGACAGCTTTGCTCCAACAGCCTTCAGCAAGGCCAGTCCTGACCTCTCAGTGCAGAATGGCCACTAGTACCTTCTGCCTCATACTACTGCTCTGTCCTCTCTCACCAGAGCTCTGCTGCTGCCCTGCCTGCTTTCAGTATCTCCCTGTCCTCCTCTTCCTGCTGGAATGCAAGCTGCCAGGGGCAGGCACTTGTATCCAGACCTGATGCAAGGGTGCCTAGTGCAAAGTGAACAGAGATGAACTTCTGTTGAATGAACAAATGAATGACTGATCTGCGTGCAAGACGCAGGTCTCTTTCCAAAGCTCACACTTCATCCTGCCATACACCTACAGCCCAAGCCAGCACATTGTAGGGAATCAAGAGAACTTCTCTTCAGGGCCAGGGAAGTGGCCCAAAGGGCCAGAGCACCACTTTGCAAGTGGGAGGCCCTGGCACCACATGGTCCCCTGAAGCACTGCTGGGTGTGGCTCAAAAATCAAGCTAGAAAAAATTTTCTCTTCCCCTTTCATTCCCATTGTTCTTGGATCACACCCCAAATGTCACTCGGAGGCCCTGCCTTAACCCCCACCATAATTAATGCCATAATTAACATTCCACAAGCATCAGCTCACACGGAGTGCCTAAGAGGCACATTTTGATACCTCATTTTGATGAGGCTGAGAAATTTGGTTAATTGCCCGTGACCAGTGAGGGCAAGAAGCTGGTTCTGCTGCTGCCTAGACTCATCACAGAACCAGGATGGTGGCAGCCTCCTTGGGGGTCCTCAGCAAATCCCTGTGGTCTCTCTCCAGGAGGGCCCAGCAAAACAATCCCAGAAGCAGGACAAAGATGCTCAGGAATGGGCCTCACTTACCAGGTCCCGGATGTGCATGACCATGATGAAGAGCTTGTTATTTTTGTAGGAGATGGACAGCTTCACCTCCCCTCCCACCTTCCCAACGGGACGGGCCCAGGTGCCATCTGGAGGAACAAAAGACACCAAGAAAGGTGACAAGGCTGGCCCCATCCCCACCTGACACCCCACCACCACTCGGCCCCCAACAGTATGGCCTGATCAGGGCCCTCCAGGGGAAATGTGCCTCAGGGTACCCAGAAACAGCGTTTTCAGTAGATTGGGGCAGGTCCTGCCAACCACCAACCCAGGGGAGACTGTAGGAGGAGCTGGGGACCTCACATTCAGCGGGGAAACCAGTGGTCCAGCGGGTCCCCAGAGGCAGGCAGGACTGACCCAAAGAGGCCCCATACCTGAGGACTTGGGAGCCGGGCTGGTGCCTGCAGCCTTGTCGTCACGTGGCAGGGTGTGGAAGAAGGTGTACACCAGGTCACACTGGAATGGAATCGGAGAGAGCCATTCCTTGGTCAGACACGACCCGTGGGGAGGTCAGGGGTGGCTGGGAGCAGCGACTTACCACAGAACCCGGGGGTGGGGGGGAGGGGAGGAGCTAGGCAGTTCCTGGTTGGCTCCAACATCCAACCCCTAAAAGAATCTGGGGATGCTGGGAAACAGCTCAAAGGGCCGGAGAGAATGCTTGTGCCCTGCAGGAGCCCTGGGTTTGATCCCTGGCACCACCCGATCAGAAAAAAACACAAAACCACCTTGGGGATGATGAGCAAACCTTGAACATGGACTGTGTGTGGATGACAAGACACTGTTGCATAAAATGTATGTCCTTATCTCTCTCTGGGGGCAGGGGAGAGGGACCAGCTGGGCCACAACCAGAGGCGCTCAGGGGCTACTCCCGATGCTGTGATCACTAGTGACCCCTTGTGGTGCTCAGGGGATCCTAGGGGCTGCCTGGCATCAAACCAAGGCTATCTCTCTGGCCCTTTATCTTTTGTTCTGGGGAGTGGGAGCACATGCAGCAGTGCTCAGGGGTTACTCCTGGCGGTGCCTGGGGAACCATATGGGATGCCGGGGACTGGATCCAGGTTAGCTGTGTGCAAGGCAAATGCCTTACAGCTGTACTATGGCTTTGCCCACCCCGTTTTTTTTTTTAAATATAAATTCATAGTAATTACTTAGGAGTAGAATGTCACAAGATGTCTATAATCTACCATGATATACTTCAAACAAAAGTAGATGAAGGGGCTGAAGAGAGGGCTCCATGGACTAGAGGCAAGTAAGTCAAACATAGCAGCTTAGATAACGGGTATACAAGTACTCATATAGTTTTCTGCTTTGCGTTTTATAAGTTTTCATTCTCAGAATTAAAAGTGTTTTAAAAAGAGGAGCTGGAGGGGGCCAGAGGAGGGGGCTCTTGCCTTGCACCTGCCAACACAGAGTAGATCCCCAGCATCTTGTATCATTCCCCTGAGCCTGTCAGGAGTGATTCCTGAGTGCAGAGCCAGGAGTAAGCTGCAGGGTGTGGCTCCAAACCAAAAAAAAAAAAAAAAAAAAAAAAAAGCCCCCACAAAAGACTCAAAGGCACCAAGACAAAAGCTTTCTGTTCCTCTCCTACCAACACCCCTCACACCTGAGAGATATTGAAGCCAGCCTGGCACAAAGACCACAAATTCTGTCTCCTGAGAACACTCCCTGGGGCTGGAGTGATAGCACAGCGGGTAGGGCGTTAGCCTTGCACGCACCCAACCCAGGTTCAATTCCCAGCATTCCATATGGTCCCCGAGCACCGCCAGGATTAATTCCTGAGTGTATGAGCCAGGAGTAACCCCTGTGCATCGCTGGGTGTCACCCAAAAAGCAAAAAAAAAAAAAAAAGAACACTCCCTAATATGTGGGGAAACCCAAACCCAAGATGAGAAAAGCGCCCGCTCCAAGATCGGCGGTGAAATGAATGGGCGTAATCTAAATATCGCCCAAGAGGTGAGGTGGCTTCGGAGCACAGCGCCATGAGGTCCTCATTGGCAGGGATGCTGAGTGCTGAAGTCACACTGACTTGGGGGTGGCGGCTGTGCACTGAGGCCACTGTGCAAGCACCTTACCTGAACTAGAATACATCTGAAAATGTTCACTATAAATGCCAAGTGGGAAAAAAAAAAACATAATGCAGAATGATACTTATGCTAAGCACACCATGAAGCTGAAAAGTCACCTTAGTGTGTGGAAGGAGGAAAACAAAAAAGGCGTTGATCATCGGTTACTGTTTTATGCACTCTCGTGTCAAATTTATTTATTTATGATTTATTTTGTTGTTTTGGGCCACACCCAATGATGCCGGGGCTTACTCCTCGCTTGCACTCAGGAATCACTCCTGGTGGGCTCGGAGAACCATCTGGGGTGCAGGGATGGAACCTGGGGAGGCAAGGGCCTTCCCCACTTCACTATTGCTCCAGACCTAGGGTCAAGTTTTAATATCCCGTAGGGCGTTTGCCTTGCGCGCAGCGAACCCGGTCGAGCCAGGTTTGATTCCTCCGCCCCTCTCGGAGAGCCCGGCAAGCTACCAAGTGTATCTCACCCGCACGGCAAAGCCTGGCAAGCTACCCGTGATATATTCAATATGCCAAACACAGTAACAATGAGTCTCATGATGGAGACGTTACTGGGCCCACTTGAGCAAATCGATGAACAATGGGAGGACAGTGACCGTGACCAGCAAACCCGAGGTAGAGCCACACAAATAACCTGCTCAAAAAAAAAAAAAAACTCCTTTCCAGGGACAGGGAGATGGTTTGAAGGGCCGGAGTCGGGAGGGGGCAAGGTTTCATTTCCTACATAGTCCCCAACCCCCATGACTGCTGGGAGCCACACTGAGCACTGAGCAGGGAGCAGCCACTCCCCCTAAGTCCGGTTCGGATCCCTAGCTGCCGGCGCTCTGGGATGATCCCCTGAGACTGCAGTTCCTCTCCCCTCCAGCCCCCCACCCCCACTCCCCAGCCCCTGCCCACAAACCCAAACACCCTCTCTGAGGGCTGGCGGGATCAGAATCTGCCCTTCCGCCAGCTCTGACCTGCAGCGCGGACCCCCAGACCCACCTCGGCCACCTCGGGGGCTGCGTGGATCAGGTGCCAGATGTAGCCATTTAACTCTTCCCTCCGCCGCTCGGCCACCGCCTCTCCCCGGGAGCGGCCAATCACAAAGCGACTGGGGAAGCTGCAGGGGACAGTGGGGGAAAGACAGGAAAGCTCTGGTCGTCCATCAGCTGCATTTTAACACCAGATACCCCCTACCTACTAGGGCCACTCTTTCTGGGACCCTCACCTGCTAACTAAGGCAAGCACCTTACCTGCTGTTCTAGCTCCCCGCCCTCCCCCCCAATACCACCACCACCACCACCACCCACCCCACCCCAGTTTGTTTTTGCCACAGTGATGCTCAGAGGTTACTCCTGGCTCTGCCCTCAGGAATCACTCCTGGTGGTGCTCAGGGACCATATGGGATGCTGGTCCTCACTGTACCCTTTTATCCTATGCACATGGCACAATTTGATCTATTTGAAAATTTCGGTTTTTTTTTCTTCTTCTTCTTTTTGGGCCATACTTGGTGATGCTCAGGAATTACTCCTGGCTCAGCACTCACGAATCACTTCTGGCAGTGCTCAGGGGACCATATGGGATGCTGGGGATCAAACCTGGATCGGCCACATGCAAGCAAATGCCCTACTAGCTGTACTATCACTCCGGCCCTTGAAAAATTCTTAGAAACTAAAAACACTTGCGAGCCTGAGCAACAGGACAGTGGTCAGTGCACCTGCCTTGCAAGCAGCTGACCGAGGTTAGATCCTTGACATCCCTTATGGTCCTCAGTGCAGAGCCAGGAGTAATCCCTGAGCATCGCCTGGTGTGGCCCCAAAACCAAAATCCAAAACAAAGCACTTATGATTGAAGTGCCTTTAGACTCCATTAACGCCCTGCCTTTCTCCCCCGAGGAGTCAAGTCCAGGGGTTCGTGCCTGTGCTGAGCATGAGTTCTAGCACTGAGCCACAGCCCCTGCCTTCATACCGGGCTTGTTTAACACCAGGCAGGTGGGTCCAAGCCGGATCTCAAGGTTCAGAGACCCTGTGAGACACTCTGGAGCACTCGCCAGCAGGGGGAGCCCTTGTGACACTCACTGGCTCCGCTACCCGGCCAAGAAAGGCAGGAAGAGCCTTTACTCTCCAAGGGTGGTTTACTACTGTCCCTCCTCACTCCTCCCCGGGTCCCCCCACAGTAAAAGGAAGGGGCAGCTACCTGGGCAGGAGGGAAGAAGGGAAGAGCAGACGCAGCTTGTTGTGCAGCTCCTGGAACTCCTCAAACGTGCGCTGGATGTACGTGGCCTCATGAGCGTTCTCTCGCGTCACCTTCACCACGTAGATCTGCAAAGGTCCGAGTCTCAGGGACTGCGGCGGCCCCAGCGACAGCACAGCCGGGAGGGCGTGAGCCTTGCACGCAGCCGACCCGGGTTCCAGGCCTGGCACCCCCTATGGTCCCTGAAGCCTGCCAGGAGGGATCCCCAAGCACAGAGCCAGGAGGAAGTGGGGTATGGCCCCCCCCAATCAAAAATCTTGGGGAATGCGGCCAGACCACCTGCACCCAGCAGAGGGGGTAAGATCAGGGAAGAGCAGGGCAAGACCCAGCAGTCCAGTTTCCAGAAAGAAGAAGGTGTCTGGGGGTGGAGAACCAGGAACCAGGAACCAAGCTGCAAGAATCTGAAAGATTGCCAGCACAGTTCCGCAGGGCCCTGCCACAGCTTCAGGGGAATTAGCTCTCAGCCTCCTGATGCTAAGAAGGCCATCTGGGCAAAGGGGACGGAGAAGGCCATTTGGGCAAAAGGGACTGAGGTGACAACTGCCCCCCCCCCCCATCTTTCAGCACTGGAAGCTCAACAACAGCTGCTGTGTGGGTGCCAACACACAGCCAGAGCCCCAGGCAGCAGCTGCAGGGAGGGTGCAGGGAGGATCGGGCTGGAGGACTCACGTAGCCCTTGTTGGGGTGGAAGATCTTCTCATGGCGGCAGAGGAAAACGTTGGTGAGGCGGCCGGAGCTCTTGAGGGTGTACGTCCGGGGGGCAAAGGAAAGGGTGAGCCGGTCGTCGGAGCCTGTGAACTTCATCTGGGCCAGGTTATGGATGAAAAAGTTGAGCTTCGTGGCCACGCTGCCCAGGCTGGACTCGATCAACCTATGGGCACGGGGGGGGGGGGGGGGGGGGGGGGAGGGGAGGGTGTCACAGTAGTTCCCGGCCCCCCCCTCCCCCCGCCCTGTGCTATCTGGAAGGGTGGTCCTGTGAGCTCTCTACCTGGGAAGCCTCAGCGTGCATCTGTACACAATTGTCCACTCGTGTAAACCTGGGTCTTATCTGCCCTCCAGCCCCAGAAAGTTAGTGGAAGATAAGAAGCAATTGGCTCCACCATTCAGCAAGTGAATGTGAAACTTTTTGTTAAACAGGATTTCAAGGTTCAATGGTTACCAAGCAGCGTCTAATTGAGAGATTTCCCTTTGAAAGGAAAGGTCCCTGGGAGAACCAAGAGAGGAAATTTAGTTCTCTAAGAGCCTACAGAGCCTGGAAGAAAAGGGAGAGGGAAGGTGCAGTTTGCACAGAAGTCCCTACTTTCAGACTTAACTTGTCTGAAACAGAAGCCACAGAATCCTATGTTTGACAAGGGGGAGGGTTCTGGTTCAGAACCCGGAAACAGTTACAGCTCTGGGAAATTCACTGCCCACAGAGCTGAGAGTATTCCCTGAGCACAGCTATGCATCCACACCTCCCAATCTAGTACTCAGGAGACAGCGTGTGTGTGTGTGTGTGTGTGTGTGTGTGTGTGTGTGTGCATGTGTGAGTCTGTGCGTGCGTATGCATGAGTGTGTATGTGTGTATGAGTGTGTGTATATGGTGTGTTTGTGTGCGTGTGTGTGCATGTGTGTATGCGTGCTTTGTGTGTGTGTATGCGTACTTTGTGTGTGTGCATGTAAGTATCTACGTGTATGTGTGAGCGTATGTGTTTGCGTGTGTATGAGTGTGTGTGCAAGTGTGTGTATGCGTGCTTGTGTATGAGTGTGTGTGCATGTGTGTGTACGTGTGCTTGTGTATGTGTGTGTGTGTTCATGTGTGTGTGTGTGTGTGTGTGTGTGTGTGAGATCAGAGTCAGACTACAGCGCCATCTACTGCAAAAATTAGCACAAAGTGCAAATGTGAGCTGGGGAGAGGACCCACTGCATCACCCTTGAGGTCCCCCAAGTACTGGCAAAAGTATCGTCAAGAATTTTTTTTTAAAGGGAACATCTTTTCAAGTAGTGACCCACACAAAGTAATCAATTCATAAAACTAGATGCCCTGGCCAAGGAGAGCCTGGAAGCATGCTGTGTATGCAGGAGCCTCAGGTTCAATCCCTGCCACCATGGGGTGTCCTGACCTCCTACCAGGAGTCACCCTAGAGCACAGAGCTGGGAGCATCACTAGGAGTGGCACCCCCAAAACAGACAAACAAAGGTGCATCTGGAAAACTGAGTCTAGGAGAAGACGGTGATTTCCTTGAGGGTGAGAGCAGTGCTCAGATAGACTGTGTTGTTGACTCGAGCCCAGGTCTGGGCTCAGCCTTTCCCTTCCCTTCGCCCAGCTCCCCCCAGCCCCAAGTAGGCAGAACTGTCCTGTCTGCAGGGTGATACCTCGTGAAGTAGGTGGTGGCATTGGCCTCTGTATCCTGAGGCCTCAAGGCATCGTACACGTACTTGAGGTCGTCCAGATCTGAGAGCTCAGGGATGCCACAGGACAGCATCTGCAGGGAGAGCACACGAGGAGAGAGCACACCTGTAGCAGGCCGGAACACCAGCATGGCCTGCCATCCAGGTTCCAAAGCTCGGCTCCCAGCCCGCCTAGGGGTAGAGGGTGGCGCACAGTTGCCGTGAGCAGTGGCTAAGACCCGGAAGGATGTGTGTGTGTGGGGGGGGGCAGGAAGTGACACTCCCCTGCATGGACACCCTGTCCACGGGAGGGTGGGCCCTGTTTTTATCAGCAATGTGGACCTCCAGAAATGCTTTAGCACCAGACATGGGGAATCTTAAAGACGGTGCTCGGTGACAGGAAAGGAGGGCGCAGAAAGGGGCGGGGGCCTCACCAGGCCCAGCAGGTTGAGGAACAGGTGGGTGTGCTTGCGGATGAGGTTGTAGGCTTGGCAGCAAAGGTCAACGAAGTCATGGAAACGGCTGGAAGGCTTGTCACCCCCGTTGATGACATACGCCATGTCCGAGGTGAAGACAAAGGGGGCACGGTCCCTGGGCCAGGGGGAAGATACAGGAAGGAGGTCAGCATGGAGGAGGAGACTGGCTCCATGTCCCCTCCTCCCTTACCCCTGTGCAGACTTGGACAGAGGGGGCTGGTGTGTGAGTGAGCTGTGTCCTTTTCTGGGTGTCTCTCTTCCACTGGCTTGTGTTTCTGTAAGCTCCCGACCTCCCAAGTCACCTTCGCTTCCTGAAGTTGCTCAGCCCAAGGGCCACACTCTCACATGTGGGCTTGTGCTCCAGCAGGGAACCCCTTTCTTTCTTTCTTTTTTTCTTTTTTTTTTTTTTTTTTTTTTGCTTTTTGGGTCACATCCAGCAATGCTCAGGGATTACTCCTGGCTCTGCACTCAGGAATTACTCCTGGCAGTGCTGGGGGGACCATATGGGATGCCATGGATCGGACCTGGGTTGGCTGCATGCAAGGCAAACACCTTCCCTGCTGTACTATCGCTCCAGCTCCGGGAACCCCTTTCTGAGGGTCTCTTGGCCCTGTCCTGGCCTCAAAGGCCGCTTACCGCTTGATGTTGCCAAACATCTGGGCATGGCCCAGGAAGCGGCCAAAATCGATGTGGAACATGTGGCCGGTTGTTTTCAGCATGATGTTGTCGTTGTGTCGGTCACAGATGCCCAAGACATAGGTGGCCACACAGCAGCCGGCACATGAGTAGATGAAGTTCTCCACGGCCTGGGGGCGGGGGGAGTACAGAAGTGGACAGGAGGAAGTTTGAAGCCTAATTGCAGGAACGCTAGGTTTAGGCTGGACTACTCAGCCTGGGCCCGCTCTGTGAGTGCTGTCTGCACTTGGCCCTGCACACGTGGCTGCATTTCCTTCTAACCAATCAGCTCTCTCACACAGAGATGCCTCTCCAAGCTCTGGATGAGGGGGCTGAGGAGTGAGGCTCTACCACTTCTGAGTTTTCTCCTCTGCCTGTCTCCTAGGGAGTCTGTGGTAAAGACAGAGGATGGATCCTGGTGCTAATATTTGATGAGTCCAGGTCCTGGTAATAGGACAGTGTGTAAGGAATTTGTCTTGCATGTGGCCCACCTGAGCTCTGTCCCCTGCACCCCACATGGTCCTCTGAATGCTCCAGGAGTGACCCCTGAGCACAGAGCCTGGAGGAAACCCCGAGTACTTCAGGGTGTAACCCCAAAATCAAAATAAATGAATAAATATTTGGATGAGTCCAGGCTGAGGAGACATTATGAGAAGGGGAGTTGGGGGAGAATGTCTCAAGGGGCTGAGGCGCATGCTTGGCACGTGGGAACCCCGTGTCCCCTGAGTAATGCCAGGTGTGGCCCCCATACATAAGCCAATGAATCGGTGCAAGATTCAACTTTCCCAGCGGCTGGGACCATTTCAATGCGAGCCTCACAAGAAGGCAACTGAACCCAGTGTTCCTTCCTGACACTGCTTCTGCCCCAATGTGACTCCCATTCCAAGTGCTCCCGGGAAGAGCCAAGGGCTCATCTCCTTAACGCTGCTTCCTGCGGAAGAGCTGAGGCAGCTAACACTTGCGGAAGGTGTCTGATGCTTGAAAATGAGGCACCTTTCTCAGCTTGGGGCAGAGTGTTAGAGATATTTCTGAGCTCAGAGCTAGGGACTGGCGTCACCTGACTGCATCAAAGCACATTCCTAAGCAGAGGGACAGCTCCCAGCTCTAACCCCTCTCTGCAAGGGCTAGAGAATGCCCAGAACTCAGACTCTGCAGCAGGCACCAGCTGTCACAGTGGGCCAGGAAAGGGGCAAGTCCCAGGGGCAGCATGAGCAACCCTGCCTGTCCCCGAGAGTCTCCGCTCACCCGGCTCTCCACCCTGCCCCACTACGCAGACCCACACTCTGTCCCCAAGTCACTGAAGACTGCACCCCGGCACTCCCCCACCCTTCAGCTCAGCTCAGTGCAGATTCTCCCAGCCCAGGCTCTGGGGCTTTGATCCCTCTCTGTCTCTCTTGGATGTTCCCGGTCCACGATCCCCCAAAGCGGGCGGCTTTTCCAGCAAAGGAAAGACGGAGCTGCCTTCCTGTCCCCGGGGTTTACTCAACCCAAAGCCCGCCTGACTGTGGATTTGTGACACAACTGCTGTCAGCCGGTGAGGAGATGATTCAGTCCCTCGCAGAGATCATACAGGGTGCCTGTCACCTGCAGGCAGGAAGTCTTGCTGCGCCAAAAGACTCCTGATATAAGGGCCCTTACAGACGAGTGTGGGGGCTCTCTGATGCATGAGTAGAAGAGGGACCACTCGCCCTAGAAAAGGGACTACTCCCCCTAGCTCCTCTCTGCTAGGACGAGTCAGAAGCAACAATCAGATCCCTGGTCACGGGGTCCAGGCTGGGAGGGCGGGGAGCTGTCTGGTGCTAGCATGTCTGTCCATTGGTGGTCTCGGCCAGCGCCCAGCCAGAGTGTCTCTACCCATTGCTAGCTATATCAGGCTGGTGTTGGGGGGGAATCCCAAAGCCATGCTGAACTGGAGCTGGAGCAGTAGCACAGTGGGTAGGGCATTTGCCTTGCACGTGGCTCAACCAGGTTCGATTCCCAGCATCCCATATGGTCTCCCGAGCACTGCCAGGGGTAATTCCTGAGTGCAGAGCCAGGAGTAATCCCTGTGCACCACCAGGTGTGACCCAAAGAGCAAAAAACAAACAAACAAACAAACAAAAACAAAACCATTCTGGGAAGGGCTTCATTGGGACATCTAGCCTAGGCTGGCAGCCCCCCACTCCCTCTAGCTCAGCCCATGGTGCTCTTTCCAGACTGGTGGCTCCCGAGAGGTCCTCCAGGGGATGGTAATGGGCATGTCCCTGGCAGGCAGCTGCAGGCCCCAGGCCCCTCCTCCCTCCCTCTCTGGCAGGGCTCTATTCTGGGCAGGGGACCTGCGGCCAGCCCGGAGTCCAGCCATTCAGCAGCTCCTTTCCTACTTTGAATAAATAAATTCAATAAATCTGCCCATCTCCTTTGGTGGAGGGGAATGTTCTTAACAACAAAAAAAAAAAAAAAAAAGAAGAAGAAAGAAATCAGGGAGATCTGAGAGAGCAGACCAGGGCTTTGCAAGATGGAAAGAGCAAGATGTCAAGTGCTTCCCTGATGGGGGAGCTGTGAGGGGTATCCTTGCTGGACATCTGTCCATCGTGACTGGTAGGGAGTAATCCTGGCTGCACCAAGCTCCACATGACAGCTACTGAAACCCTGCGAAATGCAGGCCCATCTACAAGGCCCTTGAGCAGCATTACTCTGTCCCCAGGCAAGAGGGTCTCGCGGACCAGAGCCACAGTACAGTGGGGAGGGCGTTTGCCTTGCATGCGACTTGTCCACAGTCAACCCCAGTATCCCATCAGGTCCCCTGAGCTCACCAGGAGTGACCCCTGACTGCAGAGCCAGGAGGAACCCCTGAGCACTGCCGGGTGTGGCCCTCAATCAAAAACAAAGAGACACTTGAGGTCTACAGTGGAGAGATGGCAGATTTTGATCAATATAAATTAGGATCTGGACCCCCTTGGCAGTTGAGTGATAGAAATCCACACTCCGACTTATAATGGGGCTCTTATGAGTTCGGTTCTTTTGACTTGCTCCCACCCCTAAACTTAGTTACCCACAGACCAAATCATGAAGTTGAGGTGAATCTCCCCCAAGGAACAGGTGAGCCCTTTTCTGACCATCTTCGCTTAAATCTCCCTCAATCCTGACACCCTCTGATGTGGCTGATACCAACCCACTTGTGTAACCAGAATTGATTAAGGGAATATTGAGTCACATGTCAGGGAAGGGATTCAATAAAAATGTTGAAGATGTTTTCTAGCACAGACTTTGCATGCAGGAGGTCCTGGGTTCCATCTCCAGCCCTAACAAATAAATCTAAACTAAGTGAAATTAAAATTATTTTTAAAGTATCCTCCCACCATTTTGTATTTTTTGCTTTTTTGGGTCATATCTGGTGATAATCCTCAGGGGTTACTCCTGACTCTGCACTCAGGAATTACTCTTGACAGTGCTCAGGAGACCATATGGGATGCCAGGGATCAAACCCAGCCTTACCCACTGTACTATTGCTGCGGCGCTAATATTTGTTTTTTGAGGGGGCCACATTTCACAATGTTCAAGGCTTACTCCTAGCCCTCAGCTCAGGGCTCACACCTGGCGGGCTGGGTAGACCCTACGGAGTGCCAGGGATCGAACCCGTGCTGGCCACATGTAAGGCAAATGCCCTACCCACTGTACTTTTTCTCCAGCCCTGTCATCCCCCCAGTTCTGTTTCTACAAAGTGTCACTAAACTCCCCTAACAGGACACAGGAGAAACTGAACAAACTCTCTCATCCGGTCATCATTATGTGATTGTCAGAAAATCAAAGGAAGGGCCTCAGAGGCAAGGCAAGTAGTGCTTGCACCCCTGAGTCACGTTTCCGGCCTCAGAGCCACGTTTCATCCTGGACTCAGGCAGGTCCACGGTGTGGGTCTACCACAGGAAAGCAATTGATCCCCCATTTGATACCAGGGCACTAACACAATTGGTTCCGACAGCCTCTGGGTCTGTGCCAAAGGATCCAGAGGTGTCGACCAAGTCCAGTTGCTCAAAGGCACAGGGCAGTGGATGGAACCAGCCCCCACGGCCCCTCACTGCCCCTCCGACCTCATTGTACCCCAGCCAGCACCATCCTACCTTCTCGTACTCGTCCTCCCCGGGGTTGTGTTTCTGCAGCCAGTCGGCCAGGGGGCGGTCCTTGAAGGAGCCGGTCACCCCATGCTCCACCTGGATCTTGCGCAGGGTCTCAGCGTTGGGGATCATTTCCACCATCCCTGGGAGGAAAGGGTCTGGGGTGACTCAACAGCGAGAGAAGGGCTGATGTCAGGGAGGACTGCAAGAGAGACCCCACACACCGGGCTTCAGGGCACCTGAACAGTCTGATGGTGTGAGGAGAGGTCCAGGCAGGGCGGGAGAAGAACAGGGCAGGGCTTCCTGACCACACTGGCCTGCGACGGCCCCAGCCCACAGCTGCTGCTGATTTTCCTTTTTGTTTTTCTTTGGGGATGGGGGAGTAAGGACGTGGGTTGGGGCCATATATACTCGGTGGTGCTCAGCATTTACTCCTGGCTCTGTGCCAGGGATCACTCTTGGCAGTGGGGACTATATGGGGTGCTGGGGATTGAACCCAGGTGGCTGTGTGCAAAGCAAGCACCCCCCAAATTATCAATTTCTAATAATCTAATCTACCTGCTCTAACTCACCCTCGTCAAATTTCCCCAACTGATTCCAAAAAGTATCTTTTTATTTTATGTATTTGGTTATCTCCAAATCAGAACATTTAAAAAATTTTTGGGGGGAGAGGGGATGGTCACACCCAGTAATGCTCAGGGGTTACTCCTGCCTCTGCACTCAGACATCGCTCCTGGTGGGTACTGGAGAGTCATATGGAATGCCGGGAAATCCAACCTCAGTCGGCCAAATTCAAGGCAAGTGCTCCACCCATTGTACCAATTCTCCCCACTGTGCCATCGTTCCAGTCCCCTCAAATTATCATTTTCTAATAACCTAATCTACCCATTCTAACCCACTCTAATCTAATGCTCCCCAACTGTCACCAAAAACCTCTCTTAGTAGTTGTTTTGTCAGACTCAGAAGTTACAGAGCACCTTCGGTTGTCTTCAAATCAGATTCCTCCCAGGCCCTTTCCCGGCCTTCTTCCTGAACGCTCTCCATAAATTCTGAAGAAATAAACTTTCCCTTCTCATGTTCTGATTTTGTCTGTTTTAAGCTATACCTAGCAGTGCTCATGGGCTCCTCAGAGCTTAGGGACCAGGGGACCGTGAGGTGCTGGGGACCGAACTCGGGGCCCCCACATGTTCAGACCTTTGAGCCCTCTCACTTTCATGAAGAGGCACGTGTGGGTCCCGGGAAGGGGGGAGAATGGATGGCCAGCAGAGGGGCGCCCTCTCTGCCTGCCCTCTTGCACTGACCTCGCCCCCTGCCAGTGGAGAAGCAGCGGAAGATGACCATGCGCATGTCCAGTCCCTCCTGCACCCAGATCTTGCTCATGATGCGGATCATCTGCAGGGTCAGCATGTCCTGGCGAAGGTCGTCTCCACACTGGACAGAGGAAGGGAGTGACCGGAAGTCACCTCTGCTGCCTGCCCCGGAGACGGCCACCTCAGCCCACCTGCACGTATGCCCAGCCTCCCACTGACACAGGCTCATCAATGACCTTCACACCTGTACCAGGCATTTTGCTTGCTCTGGCCGTCACCCACATCTCCAGAGAACTGACCCTAGACCCCAGGTATTCATCAAGTCCTTCTGAGTCTCTTAAAAAGTCTGAAAGAGCTGAACATTCAGGGCTGGAGCGATGGCACGGCAGGGAGGGCGTGTGCCTTGTATGCAGCCAACCCGGGTTTAGGATTCCGGGCATCACAGAGGGTCCCTCAAGCCCCACTGGAAGTGATCCCTGAGTGCAGAGGCAGGAATAAGTCCTGAGCATCACCAGCAGGGACCCAAAAACCGAAACAAAAAAGCACTGAGCATTCAACCCTCAGATCTGGAATTCGCAGCATGCGTTTTCTCCCCTGCGATACTGCAGCGCTTATTCTTCAGCGGAATCAGATCCTGCGCTGTTTCCGCTCCAGCCCCTGTGTCCCGGGGACAAGCAGATCCCACCTTACCCAACCCACAGCAGGCCTGCCCCCAGAAGTGGGGGGGGGGGCTAGATTCTCCACCCCTAGCTCAGGGATGTGACCTCCTTGCTTTCGGTCTAAGGGACCCAGGAAGAGCACTGCGGGGAACACGGGCTGCTTCTGAACCCCAGGCTCCCTTCACCAACCCCCTTTCTTCCTAATGTCTCCGCTATGCCCCTGCCCCTCCCCCAGGTGTGAGCAGAGTGGCCTCACCTTGAAGATGACCCGGATATGCTCGCCCAGTGGGTCCACGTTCTGGAAGGCGAGCTTGAGAGGAACCGCATTGGAGTTGAAGTAGGAGCAGTCCTGAGCCGGACAGAGGGCAGTGACGTCAGGAGGAAGTGGCCTGTCCACGGGGTCTAGGGTTCCCAGGTACCCCGGTAGAACCCTGAACCCTGCTCCGCTCCCTACAGCCGCAGCTCCCGCTTTCATTCCACTGACAAGCCATGTGAGCACTGGTGAGTCACGTGCCCATCTGCACCTCTGTTTATCCCTCACAAAAACGGGGCTCATTGAGGTCAGAGCAAGAGCACAGCGGGGAGGCCGCTTGCCTTGTATGTGGCCGGCCTGGGTTCAATCCCCGGCATCCCATATTGTGCCCTGACACCCCCACATACACACACACACACACACACACACACACACACATACACACCCCTCCCACCCAGGAGGGATTCATGAGTGCAGAGCCTGGAGTAAACCCGGAGCCCTGCGAGGTGTGGCCCCCAAACAAAATAAACAAACGGGGCTCAGAGCAGTAGCGAGCCCCCTGTTGGGGATTCTGAGGGACGGACAGCTGTGATTCTTCCTCCTCTCTCTCAAACCCTCCCCCCAGAGCCCCAGGCTGTCCCTCACTCACCCTGGGCACAATGCCCTTGACCAGCAGGCTGGGGCTGAGGGGCAGGCGGCAGGAGCCATTGAGGGCGAAGAACTGCTTCAGCTCCTCCAGGCCCGTGCGCAGGGTGCTCTGTGGAGGGGGGCCAGGCGCGAGGCCCGGAAGGAAGCAGCGTCAGAACCTGGGCACCCCACAGTGGCCGGCCTGAGAGCACCCTCCAACGTGTGGACGAGCTCCCGGAGACCACGAAGAAGTGCCACCAGCTCGCACCCTGGCGCCCGGAAGGAGACACAGGAAGTGGACTGGGGTGGGGGCGCCACCCGTCTTGTCTCCCTGCGGCCAGCTTGGGCAGGGGCAGGGGCGGGCATGTCACTGAGCGGGATGCTCTGGCGGCTGTCAGAAAGGGTAGCAACGGGGACTTTCCAATCTCCTCGGGGCTTGCTGTGGGGGCCACCCCCAAAGGTTGCTTCGGGCCATGCTGGGAGACCCCGGTGTTTGTGTGGGGTGGATCCTGCCCCCACCCCCACCCCGCCCCACTCAGAGCTTGTATCCCTCCAGCCTGCTGAACTGTCTCCACAGACCCCAAACCTCCCAATTCTTTTCTTTCCTAGCTGGAGTTTCTTGGGTCACACCTGGCAGTACTCAGGGGTCTGTGCTCAGGAACTCCTCCTGGTGGTGCTTTGGAGACCACTGGGATACCGGGGATCGAACCCGGGCTGGGCATGTGCAAGGCCAGCACTTTAGATGCCCGAACCTCCCAATTCTTCAATGTCAGCAGCAGAAACAGCACGGGCCTTGGGTGACCCTCTGTGTACACAGAGGACCCTCAGGGGCAGACGGAGCTGGACTCAGCAGCAACAAAGTAAGGAAGTAAATGCCTAGGCCTCCTTCACTTGCTCCCTCTGGCTGAGTGCCCTCCCGCAGTCTGCAACTTGAGCAACTGGGCTTATTGAGGTTGCCTTAACCAGCCCTTTAACTTATTGTTTGCTTTTAACTGAATCATGGTGAGATACACGGTTACAAAGGTACAAGGCAAACACTTAAATAATAACAGTGGCACTCCGCAGGTCAAACAAGGTGAGTCCACACAAGGTGAGTCCACGGGCTGTTCCCCGTTTGCAGTCTATCTGGGGCTCGCACATTAGGGATGGTCACTCCTCCCAGGCTCTGAGTCAGAAACGGCCTGTGCCTGCCCTCCAGCAGGTCAGGACACCCAAGAAGCCGGATAGCAAATAGCTTGGAGCGCCTGCAGGGAGAAACCCCCAGGCACAGCGGCCTGAGAACTGGGCCCTTGCAAGGGCGTGGAGCTCACGATGGCAGGAGGCACAGGGAGCAGCGAGCCCGCCCCACTCACCGGCCGTGCGGACGGGGCGGCCTCCCGGACCTGCTGGGCCAGCTTGGCCAGGGTGGTGACCAGCCAGCTCTGGCGGTTGAACTCCTCCCGCAGCCCCTTGCCGCAGCAGCACAAGAGGGCGGCCAGCAGGTACTGGTAGCGAATGCTGAACTGCGAGTCCTTCAGACCGTCTTTCAGCAGCCTGTGGGCAGGGGGTGGGTGTCAGGCATGTGGGGGCCCCCGGTTGGGCTCAGGGAGAGGGGCCGGGTGAGGCTCAGCCCAGGTAAGACTCTGGACGGGCCAGACCCTGTATGCTAGGCTCTGCTGGCGTGTGCAGTTAGTCCCTCTCTGCCTGCCTCTGCCCTGGGGTCCTCCCGGGTATTTCTGCTGCAGAGAGTTACTGGGACGGAGATCCTTCCCCCTCCCCCAGGGCCACATGAATCAGCCACATACTAGACTGGCCAGTTCCCCACCCCTGCATGCAGGTGCAAGGTCCCCGGGGCGCACCTCAAGACCTTACCAGAAGAAGTAATGCGTGACCCGCAGGTCCGAGATGGCTCGTTTGAGGAGGAAGCGTACCAAGGGGCTGTCCAGGTAGCACTCGTACTTCAGGGCCTGTCCAGGAGAGAGGCCAGACAGCTGAGTGATGGCTGGGGGGTGGGGGGGTCACGGACCGCAAGCCCAGTCCTGAGTTCTGAGGGATCCCGGGTGACACCTCCACCCCCCCGCCCCGCCAACACCAGCAGGAAGGGAAGGCCGGTGTCCTCACCTGCACAAGCTGTGGCAGGTAGTCGAGCAGTTCAGCGTCCGACAGCGAGCCGATCCACTGCACGGCCATGCGGCGCACCTCCTGGTCGGGGAAGCTGCAAGACACAGCCCAGCACCTGACACCCCGCCACGGGGGCCACAGGGAAAGGCGGGGACCCCATGCTCTGCCAAGGGCCCCAGAGGAGTCATCCTGGGCCCAGGAATGCAGCTGTGCCTGTGGGAGGCCCTGAGTTCGATCCTCAGCTTTGCAAAACCAAGAAGTACATCAAGTCCTGCTCCCCTCCCTCAGGACCTGCAGCCGCTAAGAATGTTCTTCGGCCACAGAAGCCACTGCTACGTTCTGTGTAGCGTAAGACCCACAACCTCTCTTCCTTGATTCTACCAGAAAGACCCTCATCAAAGCCCTCTGGGGGTGCAGGTTTTGCTGTGTCATATTAGCATCCTTTATTAGCATCCATTTGAGAGATGGCAGGGGGACCACGGGACTGTGTCTGAGCTCGGACTCCAAGGCACAATGAGTTTAACAGATTTCAGTGAAAGTTGCCTCAGAAACAGAAAACACTAGAGCCAGAGAGATAGTAAGTAAAGTAAAGTAAAGGCCCTCCCGTTGATCATCGATTTGCTCGAGCGGGCCCAGTAAGGTCTCCATTGGAGACTTTGCTGTTACTGTGTCTGGCATATCGAATACTCTCGGTAGCTTTCCGGGCTCTCCGAGAGGGGCGGAGGAATCGAACTCGGGTCGGCCATGTTGGCTGCGTGCAAGGCAGACGCCCTACCCACTGTGCTATCGCTCCAGCGGTTAATTGCTTGTCTTGCATGTGGTCAACCCTGGCTCAATCCCGGTCCCATCTGGTTCTCCAAGCACCACCAAGAGTAACCTCTGATTATGAGACTGACGCGCCACCTACTGCGCTAACGAGGCAAGGAGACTCTAGACCGAACATGATTGCCACTCAATGCCTCTTTTGCAAACCACAGCACCCAAAAGGAGAGAGAGAACAAAAGGGAATGCCCTGCCACAGAGGTGGGGAGGAGATGGGGGTGGGAGGGATACTGGGATCAGTGGTGGTGGAAAATGGGCACTAGGGGAGGGATGGGTACTTGATCATTGTATAATTGAAACCCAAGCACAAAAATTTGTAAGTCTACAACTGTACCTCATGGTGTTTCACTAATAAAAATTTAAAAAAAAAGAGTAACCTCTGAGCACAAGCCAGGAGTAGCCCAGGTGTAGCACAAACCCTCTCCCCCCCCCCCAAAAAAAAAAAAGCAGAATCATAAATAAGGAAAAGGAAGAAGCACTGAGCATTAGTTAATGATATGCAAGCTAAAGTATTAGAAAGAGGATGTGATGTCTGCCATCAACTTCAAAATGTATGAAACACGAGATATCTCTGGTTATCAGAGGAACAGAGAATTGTGACAAAGCAAATAAAGCAAAAGCTAAAGGTGAGAAACTGGGTCTGAGGATATTCTAGCACTGTCCTCCGTTGTTCATCGATTTGCTCTAGCGGGCACCAGTAACGTCTCCATTGTGAGACTTGTTACTGTTTTTGGCTTGCCAGGCTCTGCCGTGTGGGCAGGATACTCTTGGTAGCTTGCCGGGCTCTCCATGAGGGATCAACGTGGTGGTGCACTCCTGTAGTCCCAGCTACTTCCAAGTCTGCATAGCATATATTAGAAAAATTTCTTTTCTTTTTTCTTGTTTTGCTTTTGGGGCACACCCAGCAATGCTCAGGGGTTACTCCTGGCTCTGCATTCAGGAATTTCTCCTGGCAGTGCTTGGGGGACCATATGGGATTCCGGGGATCGAACCCGAGCCGGCCACTTACAGCCCTACCTGCTGTACTATCGAGCTTGAAAAAACGTTTTTGTTTTGGAAGGAGCACACCCAGTGATGCTCAGGGCTTCCTCCTGGCTCTTCATTCAGGGATCACTCCTGGCGGGGCTCAGGGGACCACATGTGGTGCTGGGGCTGGAACCCGGGTCAGCTGCATGCAAGGCAAGTGACCTCCCCGCTGAACTGTCTTCCCAGCCCCCGGGCAATGTCCTCTCTGGGGCTGTGGAGGTATGGGGCAGGAGCCATAGTTCACCCCTGGCACCTCATGGGCCCCCCAAATGTTCATAATAAAGTTGGAGAGAAAGAAAAGACCAACGGAGGCGAGGAAACACACCGATCTCGTACCCACTCTCCCGCTCGCCCAGGCTGGCTGGGCGGGGGAGGCGCCCACTCACGTGGCATGCAGCAGCCCCAGCGCGTCCTGGTGGTTCATGTGGGCCCACTGCTTCAGGAGCGCGTAGATTTCCGGCAGGCACGCCCACTCCCAGCTGGGGGCGCTGGCGAGCACCAGCGGCAGCGAGCTCACCTGGGCGTGGCAGTAATAGCGTTTCTCCCACAGGCGCTTCTTGTCTGCCTCCGTGAGCCTGGGGATGGGGGACGGGGCCAGGTGAGAGGCAGGTCAGCCAGACTCCGGTGCGCTCCCTCTCCAAATCAGAGGCCCTCAAGCTTCCCAAGGGGCTTTGAGCCCAAATCTTTTTTTTAGATCCTTTTGTTGGGGGTATGGGGAGCGATAGCTCAGCGGGTAGGGTGTTTGCCTGGCACGCAGCCGGGCCGGGTTCGGTTCCTCCGTCCCTCTCGTCCCGCACGGCAGAACCCGCAAGCTCCCGGTGGCGTGTTCGATATGCCAAAAACAGTAACAAGTCTCACAATGGAGACGTTACTGGTGCCCACTCGAGCGAATCGATGAACAAGGGGAGGACCGTGCTACAGTGCTATAGTGGGGAGCCACGCCCAGTGATGCTCAGGGCTCACTCGTGGCTCTGTGCTCAGGGCTCACTCCTGGCTCTGTGCTCAGGGCTCACTCCTGGTAGTGCTTGGGGGACCCTTGCGGGATGCGGACCATCAAACCCCTGCTTGCAAAGCAAATGCCCTACCGGCTGTACTATCACTCTGGCCCCTCTTCTTGGATTTGCATTTCCCTGGGCCTATAACAGCTCCAAAAAGTGACGCCCCCTCCCCCCCAATCCCCCAAATTTTCCCAAAACGCGGGGGCTGCTCAGGCGGAGGCTGGAGGCACGGCCCAAAACTGCAGTCCCAAGCACAGCCCAGCAGAGGGCGGTGGTGCCCACAGGCCGGTTCCAGACAGCAGAGAGGCCTCCAGGGGCGTCCGGGGGCCAGCTGGAGGTTTATGGGACCTGCGGCTAATTAGGCCTGGCCTGGGATCAGGTGTCTAATGGGTGACGGGAGCTGTGGGGGCCATGGAGTGGGGGTTCAGCAGAGGCGTGGGGGCGGGGCGCGCTGGCTGCCCTGGGGGGTGTGAGCGTGTGAGGGAGCCAGGAAGGCCCGTTTCTCCGCATCCACCCCACCGTCCAGTTCCCTGTGCCACGCGGCAGCCAGAGAGGCATTTCCAGGGCCAGCAGAAGCACCCGGCCCCACCAAGTCTTGGCCGCTCACCCTGCCCCCTCTCCTTGGACTCGCTTACCCAGAGCTGGCAGCCAGCTGGGCCCCTGATCCTTTTTGGAAAGTGACAGGCCCAGAGAAATGCAAAGACTGTGGGTGTGGAGGCGGAGTGGGGGCAGGGAGGTGAGGACACCAGCCACCTGCGCCCGCCACGCCGCCCGTGGCCTCTCCAGCATGCAGGGCAGAAGGCCCAGCATGGGACCAGGGCTCCCGCAGCAGCCGGCCTGCTTGCTTTGTTTCCTCGGGGGTGGGGACACATCCGGAGGTGCTGGGAGCTACTCCTCGAGCTTGGGGTTTGCTCCGAGCACTGCTTGGGGGACCCCACACTGCCAGCAATTGAACAGGGGGCTCCTGCGTGCAAAGCCCGAGCGCAGCCTTGAGCTACCGCCCCAGCTCTCCCCCACTCCTCGCTGCATCTCCCGAGCCTCTCCTCTGCCGTGGTAGCTCCTGAGATTAGGCCAACAGGGGATACTCCCCAAACCAAACGGCGGAGGCCCGGGGAAATGGGCGGGGCCGGGGGTGGGCGGGGCCCGGGCGGTGGGCGGGGCCAGGAGCTGCCTCACCAGTACAGGGACTCTTTCTGCATGATGCTCTTGAGCTTGCGCTGGTCCTCCTCCCCGAGGCTGCCGAACTCATAGCAGGGGCTGAAGCTGTCTCTGGAGGGGCTGGCGAACTTGATATCGAAGGCTGAGGTGGGGAAGTCAATCTGAGGGAGGCATCAGAGGTGGGGGAGGGAGAGGGGAAGGGAAGGAAGGAGGGGGAAGAAGGCAGGAGGAGGGGAGCGAGAGAAGGCGAAAGAGGTGGAGGAGAATGGGGAAAAGAAGAGGAGATGAGGCCGGAGGGAAGAGAAAAGGACAGGGGGAGGGGAAACGGAACGGGAGGGGGAGAGGAGAGGACAAGAGAGGAGAGGAGAGGTGAGGAGAGGAGGGGAGGGAGGGAGGGGAAGAGAAAAGAGGGGAGGAGAGGAGAGAAGAGGAGAGGAGGGGAGGAGAGAGACAAGGGGGGAGGGGAGAGGGAAGAGGCATGTGAGGGGCCCCTGTCCAGCCTGCTGCTTCTCACGCTCCAGCCCTCCTCCTGCCTCCCCGGCTCTTTGTAAAGGGGCCCAGCTGGACTTAGTGATCTCAAAATTCCTTCCAGAAAATTGAGTCTTCCAGCGGAAAAAAAAATTTTTAAAAAAAAAGCGGACAAGAGGAAGAGGCTGCATCTCAGTGACAGGGTGGGAGGGGACCTGAGATGGAGGTGAGGAGCATGGGAGGGGGGTGGAGCCCCCATTCTCGTTGGGGTTCTGCTGCCCCTCTGTCCCCGGCCCCAGCTCCCCCCTCCAGCTCCTATGTAGTCCTGCTCTCCTGGGAGTGTCCCCCACCACTGCCCGAGCCCCCACCGTCTGCCAGGCGCCCACGCGCTGGGGGACACGGCCAGGCCTAGTCCTGCAGGGTCAGCCGCGGCTCAGAGGCGCAGGGCCCACTGCAGACTCTGTAAGAGCAAAGGGAGCCTCGGGGAGCTGAACGGAGGCATCCCTCAGCTCAGCCCCCAGAGCTTCAGTCACCACGTCCCGCAGGGTCCAGCCCTTCCTCCTGTCCTCCTCCTCCTCCACCCAGGACACAGTGTCGATGCAGGGTCCTGACCGCAGGGTGTCACCTGTAGGATGACGCTGTCCGGCTGGTGGAAGTTGGGTGCAGTCCAGCGGGCACTGGGGTTCTCCTGCGTGGCTGGCCATAAGCCCAGAAGCTTCCGGCCGCAGGTCAGGACTCTGGAAGGGGAAGAAGGGGAGATGAGGCAGCAGAGGGCAGGGGGACCCTCTATCCCATCTACAACCTCCTTCTCTCCCCTCCACCAGCAGGGCCCAAACTTAGCAGCCCCGAGCCCCTTCCTGGTAAGATCACCGAGGAGCCAGACTGTGACCTTCAGTGTTCCGCCAATACCATCCACCCTCCTTTCAGCTTCCCTCCCCCCTGCAGTTCTGGCCGACATTGGGTGTCCTGGCCCCTCTGCCATCACTGCACTCAGACTGCCCCTCCCCAGCCCCTGCCCTGCCACTTACTGCCTAAAGTTGAAGAGTGGAGTGGTGACCCAGCCCAGGACTTCGGGGACCCTCCGCTGCTTGGTGGCCTCGGAGGAGCTGCCTGGTGGGGGCACGGGCAGGGCATAGAGGGTGACACAAAGCAGGGTCTCCCGGGGCAGCTGGTTCACCTGCACCGGGAAGCAGAGCCTGGGGGGGGACAGGAAGACTTCGTCAGGACGTGGCACCCCTGTGGCTTCCGGGGGGCCCAGGAGAACTGGGCCTCCCTTTCAGGGCACCACAACGTGCCCTTCACCCCAGGAAGCCCCTTCCAGAGCCAAGGAGGGAGACTCAGAGGCGGGGGCCTATGTAAGTGAGGACGTCGGCAGGGCACCCCAAGTTCTGCCCCTGCCCCTCATCCTCCCACCTGTCTATTCTCCCCAGCTCTCCCCTCCCCTTCCCGAGTCACACGGAAGTTCAAAGGGGCGGGGGGGGGAGAGAAAAAGTTCCTGGGTCTCTCGTGGGGAAGGCCAGGCCAGGGCAGGACAGCCTCTGTTGGCAGGTGCCCAGCTGCTCCTCTTGCCGGTGCCCAGACTGGGGTGCGGGGAGGGAGGGCGGCCGCAGAGAGAGGGCAAACTCACGGTACCTTCTGGGGAAGGTGTCTCGGGCCCAAAGGGCACATACCACACCCGGGCCAGCCCAGGGCACAGCGTGGTCCAAGGAAGCTTCTCCCCTGCAGTCCCGGGCCGGGGTGCCGGCTGCCCTCCAGGAACCTGCACCTCAGCGAAGGGCCACTCTCCTCCCTCGCCTCATCCCTCCAACTGTGCAGGCCAACTCCAGCTGCCTCTCCCCTGGGGCCCGCAGCTAAAATTAGGGCCCTTCCAGCAGCCGGCGCACACGCCAGGCCGGAGCTTGGCTCCAGGGCCTATTTTGAGAGTCCGCTGATATCTGCCCGGGCAGAGGCGGTCAGCTGACTTGCTAGAGGCGAGGGAGCACTGGAGTCTGCTGCTTCGGGCTCCATAAGTTGGGCAAAGGGGGAGCAGAAACTTCCCAACTGAAGAAGCATGGAGTCCCCCAGCCAGACAGGGCCCGTCCACGGGTGATCTCCCAAATCTCCCCCACGGCAGCCCTGAGCATCCCTCTTCCGCCCCCCTCGCACCCAACATTCCTCGACCTCACATCACGGGGTTGCCTCCTCCAGGAAGGGTTCCAGGGATAGGCCACTCCCTTCCAGTTCTGTTTCAGTGTCAGGCTGCTACTCACGCCTCTGTGCCTCAGTTTCCTCAACAGTGAAAGGGGACCCTTCTTCCCATGTGGGGGGGTGTGTGTGTCCACGGCGTGCCTTTTGCCCTGTGACCGACAGTGGGTCACTGTCCCAGAACTGGGCTCTGTAGATGCTATTTCAGGCACAGATATCCTCGGGTCCAGTCACCATGTGACTCTCAGGCCATCGAGAAGCCGGAACCGAGAGGGGTCCCCCCCCCGCTCTGCCCCGCTAAGAAACCAGAGGTGGCCAAGTTGATGAAGGCGCCTCTGCCCTGCATTGCGGCTATGGAGCAAGGGGAGCGTCTGTCTATATGGTGTGGAGGTTCGAGCCCCAGCACTACAAAGAGATTTCCCACGTGCTGGATGTGATGTACCCGTCCACCCTCTTCCTGCCGGACACCGGGGCTCTGAACCCGACAACTGTGGTGCCTTCCCCCCAGTGCCTCAGCCTGGACCATGAAGTGCCATGTCCTGTGAGACTACTGGACAGACCTGAGGCTGAGACCCGCCCCCTGTGATAACAGAGAGCCCCCGGCCCCCACCCCTGGGGTCGTCCTGCTTTGCTCCCTCTCACCCAGAGGGAAGGGCCCAGACTGCTCTGTGGGGTTGGCATGGGCCACAGCACTGAAGACTGTCCCCGTGGGGACCCAGCAGCCACGACAGATAGCTGGATCCCTCCAGGGAGTGGCCCTGTCTGGCAGTTGCTTGCACCTTGATTTACACCTTTATTGGGCTCAGAGTGGGTCCTGGACAAAAGGGAGGAGAAAGTCCTGTTGAAGGCCTGTCCCTCCCAGCATTCCTGGCTCCACCGCCGGCCTCGCCTCGAGATCTTCCCCCCGCCCTCCCGGACCTGCAATCCCAGATCTCACACGGAGCCAGACCCTGGATGGGGAAGTGCGCGAGGGGCCACGGACACGGTTTCCTGCCTGCAGGAGGGCAGAGCGCAGCATTGCCAAAGCCCAGGGTGCTGCGACCCCGCCCAGCTCCATGCTGCTAGGAGGACATCCACGGTCCCCCCTCTCCCCCCCCCCCCGCCCCCCACTCCTACAAATCCCCAACTGACAAATAGGGGGTTGTGTAATTCTCAGCTTGGGGCTGCACATTGCGAGTTGTAACCTGTCAATCTTATGTCGGGGCCACAAATGCTTCTGAGCTGAACGAAGGTGCCCGTTTTACGGTGACCAACTGAGGCCAAAGAGTGGAGCCGGAGCTAGAACTGGAGCTCTGAGCCTCTCTCGTCCTTCCTGTACCCAGGGGCTTCCGCATTTCCACACGGAGGGGCCACACCGGAAGCTCAAACCTTCCCTTCTTCCCTAGAAGGGAGGAACGGCCCGCTCTGCTCTTCCCGCTCCGTGGAAATCCAACTGAGAGGATGCAAGTCCTTCCTTCCAGCTAAACCTCTGCAAGAAGGCTCACACCCGCAGCAAAGACCGGCACCATTCTGCTGACACCTCTACCGGGAGACTCTCCAGGAGGCAAAATCTCTCTAGCGTGTCCCCCTGGAAGAGCTTGGGAAGCAGGGATGGTCAAGGGCCCTAACCCGGGGTGGGCTGGGGAGGCGCTTACTTCTGGTCCCACACGATGAGGTGGAAGAGGTACTTGGAGAAGCGAGTCTTCTGGGTCTGCTGGGGGTTGCACAGCAGCTTGCCACCGTGGCTGAGCGAGCAGGAGAGGTAGAAATCGTCATAGCTGCCAGAGGAGGGTGCAGGTCAGGGCACCCGAACAGCTAAACCCTCCACCCGACCTCCCGAGGGACTAGGGCAGGACAGCCAAGCGACATGGGAGGCACTGGGCTCTGTCTGGATCCCAAGGTCCGGTCGGTCCCAGGCTCCAGGTGGGCCTGGAGATGGGCCTGGAGATAGTCTTCCTTCTCCCACCCCCCTCCCCCCAAATCACCGCTGAACCCCGCGGGTCCACGGCGCGTGCGGGGGCGCGCGCATGCGCAGGTGAGCGGGCGGGTAGGGTATTGGGGGTGGGATAGAAAATGACATATGCCCGCATGAATGCCAGCACACGGGGGTCCGGTGGCTCGTGACAGGTGCCTGACAGAAGAGGTCAGAGAAGGCCCCGGTTTCCCAGGCTGCCTCCTTTGTTCTCCGCCAATCGCCCCGAGGAATACATTAAGTGAGGAACAAAGAGAAGAGGGGAAGGGAAGGGGAGGGGGTGCGGCAGGGGGTGGAGTCTGCGGATTCCCGCCCCCCACCCAGGCCTGGGAGGCTGGGGGACCCCGGCGGGAAGCTGAGGATTACCAAAAGAAAGTCCCCCTCCACCCAGGCAGACAAAGGGTCATCTCAGACCCCGCCCCCGCATTCTGCATCAGCTGGATGCAGTCACGGGCGGGCGGGCGAGGGCCAAGGGGAGGGGGGGGCTCTCTGGGAAGCGGCCATCTGTCGCCAGGTCTCATCAGCTGGCCTCCGCCGAGGAGGCAGGGATGCCCATGCAGCCAGAGCTGAGCGACCCGGGCCGCGTGTTCCGTGAGCGAGGTGGGGGCAACTCAGCTCACTCCCAGAGGCACCGTCAGGTGGGCTCACCTGGTCACCCAGGTGATGGGGATGCGGTGGGTGGCGTAGACGGTGAAGCACAGCTTCCCCGAGAAGTGGCAGGCGTCCTGCACCACCTGGTGCGCCCGGCTCCCGTGGGCCGTGGGCTGGAAGTCCGCATCGAATGTGTGACAGTACAGCTCCACCAGGTCGAGGATGGCGGCCGTGAGTCCCTCCACCACCTTCTCTGTGGAAAGGCTTCGGCCTCAACAAGCCTGTCGTGGTGGCCAGCTCGGACCCGGGAGAGACCGCCCCCTCCTACCCCCCCCCCCCACCACGCCTGGCAGTGCCTCATCCGGAGCACGCTGGGAGCTTTTCACAAGGCAGTCCCTTTCAAACCCTGTCCTGATTTTTATGTCTGATAACTTATTTAAGCTACCAAGAGTATCTTGCCCGCATGGCAAAGCCTGGCAAGCTCCCTGTGACGTATTCGATATGCCAAACACAGTAACAGCAAGTCTCGAAATGGAGATGTTACTGGACCGCTCGAGCAAATCGATGAACAACAGGAGGACAGTGACGGTGAACTTATTTAAGAGGATTAAATATCCTTTCATTTAGAAAAGGGTGGGGGATGATTGTCAGTTTTCTTTTTTTTTCTTTTTGGGTCACACCCAGCGATGCACAGGGTTTACTCCTAACTCATGCACTCAGGAATTACTCCGTGCAGTGCTTGGGGGACCATATGGGATGCTGGGAATCGAACCCAGGTCAGCCTCGTGCAAGGCAATCACCCTACCTACTGTGCTATCACTCCAGCCCCGATTGTCAATTATTTCTTAAAAGTCATTGCTTAAAAGAATAAAAAATAAAATAAATAAAAGTCATTGCTTAGCCCAAGGACAGCTGTTTCTCGGTGGGTCCCCCCAAACACAGGACATCTGGGGGACACCGTGTTAGTCCATGGAGTCCCAAAGCCTGGGGCTCACTGACCCAGAATCCCAGGGACACACAGTCAGAACTAGTTCTGCTTCCGAAGGCGCAAAGGTAGAGACTAGCAGGCAATCCCTTAGCGAAGTTCTTTTTCTGCGCCCTCCCCCTCTCCCGCCCCGCCCATTCTCAGATGGAAATGCAGCAGGGGTTAGGCTGCTGGCCGCCTTGGAAAAATTCCCCACCTACCCAAGTGAGAGCTTTCCCATCTGGAACCCCGGGGCTAGCTGTACCTCACCACCCCACCCCCACACTTCTGTCACCTCATCCCCCCTCTCCCGGGCACACCACAGGAATAACTAGTAAAAATAATGAGAAAACATTTGGCGGAGAGCAATGTGTTCTCCAGCTAGGAAAACCCGACACAGTGGGGCAGCCACGCCCCCATAAATCAGGGGGCCAGAGAACAAGGGATCTAGGCCCAGAACAGCAGCAGTGTGCAGCTGTCCCAGCTGGACAAAGCCAGAAACCACTTCCCTTACCTCGATTTTCCCTCACAGCCAAGACGGTGGGATCCTGCGAGGGGCAAGAAGCGAGAGAGAAAGGCTCAGGCTGGCTGCCTCTCTCCAGGGCAGCTGGGAGCAGGGCCTCCCTCCGCTGTACTCAGGCATCAGACAGGCCAGAGATGAGGAGAAGCTTCCCTGGGGAGGAGAGACGGACTCCCTCGCCCCCTCCCGCTGTGACAGTCAAGGGCAAGTCCTCATGTCCCCCCAAACAAGACCCTCTCAGGCCCGTCTCGGTGTCCTAGAGCCTGGTTTTTGGGGGGGGGCATGCCAGTGACTCCCAGCCATCAGTCCTGGGGGTGGAGGGGCTTGAGGGTCTCGTCCTCAAGAAGAGGGGAACGGGCTTAGCTTCCGTTTCCCAAGAAGGCCTGGGCTGAAGTGTTCAAACCCGGAAGGCGGAGGCCAGAGAGAAGAAACGAGCCTCCGGGCTGGGGCCTACCCGCCCCGCTCTGCCTCTGCCCCCTGTGCCAACGCTCACGGCCCAATACCTTCTGGATCTTAGGCTGCATACGCGAGGGGCAGGCGGGCAGCTGGTTGAGGGCACTGGTGATGTCAGGCGTTTCCACGGCAGCGAGGGCGTTGCAGATGGCCTTGACTGACTGGACCACCCGGTCAGCCTTCAGCGGGAAGTCCCCCTGTGGGAGGCAGCACTGTGAGGGATGGGCAGCGCTGCTGGCCTTGAGGGCCATGGCTGGGAGACAGAGGTGCCTGACCGCCACTGAGTGGAACCCACGCTTCATTTCAAACCTCCAGCACCCGCTGTTCGCCCCGCCATACCCACATCCCGTCAGCTGTTCTCCCAGTGTGGGGGGTGGGGAGGGGGGGTGTACGTGCCGCCCCGGGAGAGAGGGGATGTGTCCCATCTGCCCACAGGGCTTCCGTGCTCATTTCTGGAACTCCGTGACCAAGCTCCCCTCAGAGCGAGGGATGCGCCCCGGTCCCTACCTTGGGCCTAGCACCGGCAGGTTGCTCAGCAAGTCCCCTCGCCTGGCCTGAGGTCAGATCAAGGCCCGCCCGGCGGCTACTGGGGAGTGCTCTCCAGGGGTGCTGACCCAGCCGGCACTGTCCACTTCTAATCGCTTGAAGTTACTAGTTCAAGTGCTTTTTGGTTTTGTTTTGGGGTCACACCCGGTGATGCTCGGGGGTTACTCCTAGCTCTGCACTCAGGAATTAACTCCTGGGGGAGACCATAAGAATGCCAGGGATCGAATCTGGGTTGGCCGAGTGCAAGGCACACCCCCTACGCATTGTACTGTCGCTCTGACCCAAGGACTTTTTTTTTTTTTTTGAGGAGAGGCCACTCTTGATGGTGCTGGGGAGTGGGGGAGGCGCTCCCAGTGGGGATCAGGGAACCAACCATGCAGTGTCTGTCCCTAACGCAGGGCTTCCTTAAACCATCTCAAGGCCCTCTAGTCCATTTTCTCATTGGAACACAAGCTCCAGGAGGCTAAGGTAACAGTGACACTCCTCTCCCTGCAGAAAAACTGTCCAGACCTTGTTACTGCCCTCTGCACATGGCAGCAAGTGCACCAGCCCCTCTGCACACACCAGCCCCTCTGCACATGCACCAGCGCCTCTGCTCACACACACACATACACACACACACACACACACACACACCAGCCCCTCTGCACACGCACCAGCTCCTCTGCACACACCAGCCACTCTGCGCACACCAGCCCCTCCAGATCCCCCTAGCACTGGCTGATCCTGGGAGGGCTAGAGAGAGGCGCTCTGGGCATGAGAGAGGTTCAGGTTCGGTACTCACGTCTGCCAGCAGGAAAGCATCCACTTCGTTGTGGTACGTATCGAACAGTAGACTCAGGGCCTGCCTGGGGAGGTGCGTGGGAAGTCACCGCAAGGTCAAGGAACCCGCTCTCCTCCCTCCCCACAATGCAGGAATGAGGTTCTGCTCCCCACTCCTGCCCCAGGTCCCGGGCAGAAAGGAGCAGGGCGAGTTCTTGCTGGGCCTCCCCCCCGCCCTCACCCAAGGACAGCCACACAGGGCCGGGGAGGAGGCCTGTCCTCTCTCCCCTTGACCCGACACCTGCAGGGAGGAAGGGTCCCCCTGGACCTCCTCACTGTTCCTGGGGGGCCCCCAGCCAAGAAAGCAGCCGCCCGCACCTGCTGATGGTCTGCTTGACTGGCCTCTCCTGCAGATGGACGTGGTAGTTCAAGGTGGAGGGGCCCTGGTCATCATTCACCTGTGCAGGAGGCATCGAATTCAGTGAGGGGTGAGGTCTTTCTCTCAGTCAGGCACGCTGACCGCATCCCCTCCCCCAAAACAAATTCCCCCCCCCCAACACACACACACACACACACACACACAGCCCTGACCCGCCCCGCCCTTGGCCCATCCACACAAACCGTGCGTGCCAGGTCACTGCGGACAGCTCCCCGCGTCATCAGCTGCAGCCGGATGTCGTTGTCAAACTTGCGGCAGTGCTGGATATACTCGTGGCTGCCGAGGGCGTGTTTGCTGGCGAGAGGACAGGACCGTGAGCCTTCTGGGACTGTGGCCGGGACCTCCAGAGGGGCCACGAGGGCCCGGATCTGGGGTGCACCCGGAACCCTGACTTCTGGAAAACCTCATGGTGGAACATCAGGGAAGGAAGGGAGGTCTCTGAGGAGAGTGACCAGAGTCACCACGAGTGGGTGGCCTGTGCCCACGTCCCCTTTGAAGGAGCCTTGCTGGTCTGTCACTGCTCACTCCAGAGGCTGCAGGAGGGGGAACCATGGAAATATCTGCAGCCTTCCTGATGATTCTGCTCAATCACCAACCTTGAGATCCCTGACTCCCAATTTATTTATTTATTTATTTTTTTGTTTGGGGGCCACACCTGGTGATGGATGCTCAGGGCTTACTCCTGGCTCTGTGCTCAGGGATCACTCCTGGAGGTGCTCAGGGGACCACAGGTTGGCGTCAAGCCAGGCAAGCACCCTACCCGCTGTCCTACCACCCAGAGGCCCTTTGTGAGGCAGCCCCTTGCTCCCCCCTAAGCCCTCGCTGGTCAGAGAGGAAGGTTAGCAGAAAGGCAGAGGGAGCCCCGCATGGTCAGCCTGGCTGGGGCCCAGCCAGTAACAGTAGCCGGAAAGGAACTTCCTTCCCCAGCTGAGCTGGGCTGTCGGGTCAGCACAGGAAGGAGAGGCCAAGGCCAGAGGTGTGTGGACGGGGACAGAGGGATGCAAGGTGGCCAGGGGCCAATGAGAACTTCGGGGGCTTTCATCACCCCGGGTGGGGACACTCAGTCTGCACTGTGAGAGCCGGCGGGGAGGTGAGGCTGTGGCCGGCAGGCGGCTGGGGAGTGGTCAGGAGGAAGGAAGAGCGTGGTGGCGCTGGGGGCAGCGGCAGGAAACCCAGCCCTTGCCAGTGTCGCGGGCTCTTATCGAGAAGGGCCTGCATCCTGGCCAGGGCCCAGCCAGCTCCCCCATGCCAGCAGCCAGAAGCTCCCGCACACCCAGAGGCCCCCTCTGAGCCCACCCCAGGCAGCGCCTGGAATTCAGAAATGCTTTCTGGGGGGCATGGGACAGGAGTCTCAGCAGGTGAAGGGCTCTTGGACATCAAGGACCCATCCCCTGAGGCCTGGCATGGCTTCAGGGCATCAGCCTTGGGGCATTAGGGGCAGGCAGAGGCCCCCAGGACCATCCACCCTGCTCCCCTGAACACCCCCCAGGGGGGGTCTCTGCAGGAGCCTGAAAGCTTGCCCCCCACCCATGGACTCGGGGCCTGAGGGCAGTGCCAGTATCTCCCTGAAGCATTTCCTCTCGGTATGAGGGTCCTTCCACGGGTGGGTGCACGGACCACTCCCACTCCATCAGCACTGAGGGGTGGGGTCTCACAACAACTCAGCATCCAGTCAGAGTCTAGGCCAGCTGTGCAAGTGTGACCAAGGGCTCAAATGGACCCGAGGGCCCCCTATCATAGAGGCGGCCGTCCAGGTGCTCTCTGCCAGGAGACCCCCCAAGTCTAAGGTGCGACCACCAGCCGTGTTTGAGCTCCCTGGAACCACAGGTCCTCCTGCCACCTTCCCCTTCTGTCCCGCTGGGGGCCCAGTGACAGGGATGCTGGAGCTTCAGGACTAGGGAAACAAGCTGTACAACTCTGGCCACAGGCGCACCTCCTGGCTTCTAGACCGGATGTAGGGGCCAGAGCGAGCCAGGGGCAGCACCCACAGGCTCACCAGGGAGGTTCTGCCCACCTGCCCTGTGGGCGGAAGGCTGGGCTCTTCATCGTCTGTTCTGCTGCCTCTGGCCCATTCTATAGCCAGCCGGACACACGGCAGCGGCCCTGAGGGTGCCAGTCCTACTGCCCAGCACCCCAGGACCCCAGCACCCCAGGCAAGAGAGAGGCCCTGGGTGCAGCTGGTCCTCATCAGACTGTGCAGGCAGGAGGGTGGTGGAAGGAGGGCGGTGGGAGGAGGAGGATGGGAGGAGGGTGCTGGGAGGAGGAGGATGGGAGGAGGGTGCTGGGAGGAGGGTGCTGAAGTAGGGCACTAGATGGAAGGTGCCAGAATCAGCTCTCAGGAGTGGCAGCTGCACTGGCAGCAGGGTGAAGAGCTGGTGGCTGGGTGTGGGAGCAGCTGTGACTTCTCCCCTGGGTGCTACAGGGGCTCTCCTGCCATTCCTCCTTTGGCCTCTGGCCACAGAGCCCCTGCAACTGATTTGGACTGGAAACCCCTCTGTGAACTCCCTAGCCAGCCCCCCACACCCCAGCACACATCGTCAGCCTGCCCCTGAACCCCCCCAGCCCTTCCCGAGCTGAGCAGGCGCGGGCAGTCAGCCAGCCCTGCTGGAAGACTGGGCTCGGGAAAGCGTGACGCGCGACGCGGCAGGAAGCGCCTGGAAAGTGTGGTCCTGGCTGGCCCCAGAGGCCCCTCCCAAGGGGCCTGCAGACACTCACTTCTGCAGGAACTCCTCCAGCCCGCAGGGCTTCAGCACGAAGTCCGCCACGTCCACGCCCCGCAGGTCGTCGTGGGTGTAGCACAGGGTCTGGTAGATGAGCAGGTCGACTGTGGAAGAACCTGCAGCGTGGCCATCACAGGGAGGGAGGGGCTCAGCACCCCACTGGGGACCCCTAGTCCCAGCTTAATGCTCTTCGGGTCATTAGCAACCCCATAAAGCAGGTTGGGGGGGAGGGGGGAGATGAGTTCAGTGTGTGTGGGGGGGGTGGAGGCAGGACCTGAACTCCCAGGATCCTCTGCCGCCCGCTGACTTACAGTTGCAGGTGAACGTGAGCGGCTCCCGCAGGCTGTCACACAGGACCGTCACCTTCAGGTTGACCTCATCACCCAGGTGCTCAGGGCTCGGGGTGACGGTGCTCCAGACGTAGCCAGTGAGGGCGTAGTCCCGGATGTCAGAGCCCGAGCGCAAGCTGTGCGGGAGAGAAGGGCCAGGGGCCTTGTGGGCCTTCCGAGGGGAGAAGCAGGATGGATCTGGGACGTGGTTCTTCACACACTTGCCATGGCAGCAAAATGCCCCGGGCAGAGCGAGATGGAGGGGACAGGCCCCAGCCGACCAGCCAGCCCCAGCAGAGGCCTCGGGAGGGAACTTTCCTCTGAGCCCATTCCCCTTCTGTTAGCGCCAGATGCCACATACCCACAATTGCACTGGATGGGAACAACCTGATCTTCATATTAGTTGGAGGTTTCATGAATTTGGTAAAAAAATAAATGTGAAATATCTAAGATTTCCAAAAATCCGCAAACACTGAAGGAAACTGGGAACCATGGTGGCGGGAAATGTGCACTGGTGAAGGGGTGGGTGTTGGAACATTGTATGGCTGAAACCCAATTGTGAACAAATTTGTAACTGTGTATCTCACAGTGCTTTATAAAAAAGATTTAAAACTACACCAACACCTGTGGCCTGCCAAGCTGAGTTGACATGGACTAAATGTGGCTCCTCTTTATTCTCGAAGGAAGTTCTAGAAAGGGAGACCCTCTGCCCCAGCCTCCACGCCCCTCCCGAGACCCCCATTCTTTCACTCTTACATGTCCAGCATGTGGCAAAATGCAGCAACTTCCTCATCTCTCTCCTCTGAGACCTCAAACAACTCGTGGCCATTGGCAACGGCATGCGGCCGCGAGCCCACCTTTAAGAGAAGAGCAACTCACTCAGTGACCCCCTGCCTGCCTCCAGCCACTCCTTCCGAGAGGCTGAGCCCAGACCAAAGCTCCTAATCCCAGGGGCCCAGACTTCTCTGATGCTCTGGCATTCAGCAGGAGGAAATGAGGGGAGCCAGGGATATCTTTATCTCCTGGCTCAGAAAACTCATTGCCAAGTTCAGGGACACGCAACCTCAGCTGAGTCTAGAAGGGGGATGGACAAGAATGGGCTTGAGCCCCCGAGAAACAGCAGAGTGGGGAGGGCGTTTGTTTTGCGTGCAGCTGGCCTGGGTTTGACCCCCAGCATCCCATATAGTCCCCCAACTATGACCAGGAGTGGTCCCTGAGTACAGAGCCAGGAGTAATCCCTGAGAACCTCTGGGTCACTGTCACTGTCCTCCCGTTGTTCATCGATTTGCTCTAGCGGGTCCAGTAACGTCTCCATTTTTTGAGACTTGTTGTTACTGTGTTTGGCATATTGAATACGTCACGGGTAGCTTGCCAGGCTTTGCCGTGTGGGCGAGATACTCTCGGTAGCTTGCTAGGCTCTCCAAGAGGAACAGAGGAATTGAACCCAGCTCGGCCAGGCTGGCTGAATGCAAGACATACGCCCTACCGCTGTGCTATCGCTCCAGCCCAAGAACCTCTTGGTATGCTCATAAAAAAAAAAGAGGGGGTGAGAGCCAGAGAGAGTACAGGGGTGAAGGTACTTGTCTTGCACACAGCTGACCCCAGTTTGATTCTTCAGCACTACCTACAGTTCCTGAAGCACTGTCAGGAGTGATCCCTAAGGTCAGAACCAGGAGTAAGCCCTGAGCAAAACCAGGCCCCTCCCAAAACAGACCAAAGGTGTAGCAGAGACCCCTCCTTTCCTAAGGGTCAGTTCAGCCTGTCACCCAAGCTCAGAAGTGCAGGTATGGGGGGGGTGTGCATAGACATGTGTGGGGGCGCTGAGCAGGCCACTGTGTTTCCTGCCCATGGCTGAGGCTAGGGTGAGTCCCTGGGGAAGCCTGGCCCTGGGCAAAACCCTCCACACTGGCAGCAGGCCCCTGGGAACCTTCAAATAGAGCGATGACTCAGACCCCCCACACCTGCCTTTGGGGCTCAATAAGGCTATTTGAGGAAGAAAGGGTCAGAGCAACTCTGGACGGGAGAGAATGAACTGGGAACTCCCAGGGCCTGGAGTCAGCTGCCTCTACACATGTCAGCTGGGGACGGCTTCTCTCCTGACAGTGCTGGGTGTGAGGGGGCATCTCTTGTCTACGCTATCACCGTGTCCCACCGGAGCTGCTCTCACACAGACCTGCAGCCCACCCAGTGGGAAGAAACAGCGTGGACTGTGGGGCGTGACAGGTTCTGCCTGACCGGCCAGCCCAGAGCGCCCCCCCACAGAGGGCAGCCACATCCGGTCAGGGCCAACAGCTGCTTCTGGGAGCTCTGCGAGCTGGGCTGTGCACTGGCCACCCTCATCATCTCTCATCCTGCCCGGCAGGTGCCCCGCATCGCCCCGCAGTGGCACAGGGCAACAACTGAACCCCTTACTTCAATACCAGATTGTTTGAGGGAGCAAGTCCCACCAGCCTGGCTCCCCGGGGGGGGGAGGGGGAAGCCCGAGGGGGTGCGGAGGGGCGGGCCGCCGTGGGCCTGTTGGCATGGGAGGGTCCGGCTCTGCCAAGTTCATGCCTGTGTCCCAGTGAAAACAATAGGACCACTGTCAGCTGTGAAGCCACAAAAGAGAGAGAGGCGGAGAGAGATCGAGAGAGAGAGACACAGAAAGCAAGAGACAGAGAGAGATGAAGAGAGACAGAGAGACGGGGAGGGGTGAGGCGCAGCGTGGAGAGCAGAGCGGCTGCCGAAGGCCATTTTCATGCCCTTTCAGCACGGTTCACTGGCTCCAGAACGAAACAAAGGCCACTTACGTTCACCCTGCGGCGGGGCCTGCGTGGCATCGCCCGTGGCTGGCCGGGGGCGTCTGCTGGGCAGAGGCTGGCAGCGGGGTTACCAGGCGGGTATTTGGAGCCAACCATTTCCAGAGCGGGCTCTGCAGGCCTGGGACTAGTAGGGTGGCCCCGACTGGAAGTCCGGCGAGGGCGGGGCGGTGGGACAGGCCCAGGGCCTGTGGGGTCCCCCCTTTGGAGCTGAGGTGGAGTGGACCAAGGCCACATTTCACCCCCAGAACTGGCTTGGTCTGAGTGTGTTCAAGGGGAGCTGGACTGAGTTTGCCCTCAGCACTCTGGGGGCACAAAGCAGATGGGGGAGGGGGGAGGTTGCTGGGGGGTATGGTAGCCGGAAGGAAGGGAGCAGCGGAGGGACACCTACCATAGAGGCCTGGCCGGCGAGCAGGCCCAGTCGTGCCGGGAACAGGAATCTCCCTGGCCCTATAAATAGCAGGATCGGCCCCACCTCGCACGGCCGGCCCTTTAAAAAGCCCCAGTTCCAGGCTGGACCCAGGTTCTGATTCTGTTCTGGGGGACGCTTAGCAGAACCCCACAAGGCAGGTCCCTGTGGCTTCCCAGAGGCACATAAGGTCTAGACTGTCGGACAGGGCAGGGGAAGGCCCACAGCTGAGGGACAAAGAGGAGATGGGGGTGGAACTAGGTGGCATGATGTTGCCTGGGCCTCACCAGCCATGGGGGCACCTGCCAACTCCTTGGGCCAGCAATGTCCAGGGGCCAAGGGTCAAGCACACATAGGTCTTGGGGATGGGAATGCTCTGTGTGAAAATGCAAAGGGCTGACCCGCACTTCTAGGTGGACATTTTGCTTTTTTTCTAATGATATGTTGATGAAAGTAAAATTAAGGTCACAGTATCTATTTTTTCTTACTATTTTCACTATGGAAAGAGATGACTGGCAGTAATAGCTGTGCAACAATATGAATGTACTAAATGGCAGTGAACTGAACACTTAAAGTTGAATAAAAAGAAAAACAAGAGAGTTAGGGAGAAACGAAGTCAGGGGGAGATGGAGGGATGATGGAAGGAGAAGAAGGAAGGAGGGAGGGAGAGAGAGAGAGAGAGAGAGAGAGAGAGAGAGAGACCAAGAGAGAAACACAGAGACAGAGAGAGGCACACACACAAACACACACAGAAAGACACACAGAGAGACAGAGAGAGACATAGACACAGACACAGACACAGACACAGACACAGACACAGACACACACACACACACACACACACACACACAGAGCAGAAGCAACTTGTTAGAGGGTCTGGAGTCTTGTCCAGTGGGGAGGGTGCTTGCCTTGCCTTGGCGTACCCATTTTGATCCCCAGCATCCCATATGGTCCCCCAGGCACCACCACGAATAATTCCTGAGTGCAGGGACAGGAGTGAGCCCTGAACATCATGGTGGTTGCAGACTGGGGGCTCCTCCTGAACCACCATGCAGAGGCTGAGAGGCTAGGAGCTGGCCAACCTGCAGTGAGCACCGAGCAGTGCTGTGGTTAATGTCAGGAGCACTTGACGGGGGAGGTAGTAGTTTTTGGATCACACCCAGAAGTGCTCAAGGGATCATGCAGAGCTGGGGACCTAGTCAGGGTTGGCCATGTGCAAGGCAAGTGTCTCAACCCCAGGCTCTCTGGCATTTTGAGCAGAACAGAAACATACAAAGTGGAAGCGACTGACCAGACAGCAGACCAATAGACCCTGGAACCAACCAGAGACCCCTCACCCTCAGGCCAGGCCTTCTGGAGCTGAGGTTGTCTCAGAACTGGGGTTCCAGGGCTGGAGCAATAGCACAGCGGCTAGGGCATTTGCCTTGCACGCGGCCGACCCAGGTTCAATTCCCAGCATCCCATATGGTCCCCTGAGCACCGCCAGGGGTGATTCCTGAGTGCAGAACCAGAAGTAATCAATCCCTGTGCATTGCTGGTGTGACCCAAAAAGCAAAAAAAAAAAAAAAGAAAAAAAGAACTGGGGTTCCCAGATACCCACAAGCAGGTGGGCCAGTGGGGCAAGACACAAACAATTCGGCCTCAGAAAGAGGGTACCTCCTCTTCTGGCATCCCGGTTCCCCTCCCGAACCCTGGCAGAGTAGACAGGAAGGGAGGGCAGAAGGGGTGAGTGAGCTCTTAGTTAGGACTTGAGTTTGGCACAGCAGAGAGAAATGGTGGTGACTCTTGACTTTTGAGACCCTGGGAAAGACGGACAGAGCAAACAGCAAGCTTCTCACCGGAGCAGCAGAAATCCGATGGTTCTTGCCGGAAGTGACATTTTTCCGGTTGGCATAGCGAGAGGGGTAGGTGCGTGGGGGCACCTGAGGGGGCATGGTCTTGCTCCGGGCCACGGGCTTTCCAGGGGTGTCTTTGCCGGAGTCCTTCCAGCCCCGGCTGGCGTCTCTCAGCAACTCGGCGTCATAGGTGGACTTCAGGTTGAGACGGGTGATGGCACAGTTGATGCCATCATAGTCCACAGGCTCCAGGAGGTGCCCTAGATGCCCACCTCCGGGCGCCTCTTCCTCTTGGTGCCCTAGCAGTTTGCCAGGAGGGTGTTCAACCGATGAAAAAGTGTTGATGTCATTGGGCCGGGAGGTCTTGGAGGAGGACAAGGAGGGGGACCCCTTCCTGGGAGGCAGAGGAGGGGGCGACAGTTTTTTCGAAGAGTCGTTGTCATCATCCCCCGTTCCTGGGGATGAAGAGAGGCCCCCGTCACAGCCATCAAAGATGTAGAGATAGTCGCCGGCCAGGGAGCCCTTGGGCCAGGGGTCGGGGCCAGGCCGGGAGCCCTGGGGGATGGGGTGGGCAGGCGGCCCTTCCTGCGGGGAGAGTGAGTTGTAATTGAGGGTGGGATCGGAGCCAGACAGACCACGGAAGAGCTTGAGGTCACGGCGCCTCTCGGCTGGTTTGTTGTAGAGACCGAGCACGGGCTCGTCCCAGCTGATGAGCGGCGGGTCCGCGTTCTGCTTGGCTCTGCTCTCTTCCTTGTCATGCCGCAGCCGGGACAGCGCGTCGTACTCCATCTGCAGAGCTTCGGCCATTGCCAGCTCTTTGCGGCTGAGGCCCACCGACTCCAGGGAGTCCCAGTGCTCCCCACTGCCCTGCGTGGAAGACATGCTGAGAGGCGGCCGGGACCCCTGTCGTCTACTTCATGCCAACGTCAGGCCTGCAGGTAGCTGAAACCCCCGCTGTCTACTTCATGCCAATGTCAGGCCTGTAGGTAGGGGCATGGTGTCCGGGCACCTGCAGGGAAAGAGTCGGCATGAGGTCACAACAAGGGCCTTTCTAGTCTGACTCGGGGGGCGTGATTGGGCCCCGGCCTGTGGCTTTTGAGTCTGGAAAGAACGGCAGGAAGCAGAAGGCTGGGCTGTATGGACCTCTTACACCTGCTGCCCGTCCATTCCTCTGAGCATGTCCCAGTTCTCATCTCTCCTACACGGACCCCGGGAAAGAAATCAGCCCCTTGCCTCAGCCCTGAACTAGCAAGGGCCTTTTCAGCATCTGAGAACTCTCCAACACTGCTGGCAGGGAATGTAAAAGGGTCTGACCACTACCGAAGGCAGGAGGCTTCCTGGGAATCTACCATATGATGCAACTTGCCTGCGCCCGGCAGGTTCCCATGAAAAATGAAAAGATAGCATGGCGGAGGGATATCACAGTGGTTGGCGCACTTGCCTGGCATATACCTGACCAGGGTTTGAACCCCAGCAGCACATGGCTTTCTGAGCATCACTGGGTATAGCTCACCAGTATCACCAGGTGTGGTCTTACAGGCTCCAGAGTATCCTCAGCTGTCCCTGGTGGCCCCTGACACTGCAGAGCTAAAACAGCTCTGTACCCTCAAGCCCTCACCCTGAACCTTCCATCCCCTTGGTTTAGTATCACTGGGCGAGGCCCCCTGAGCTCTGCCGGGAGGTTCCTCCAAAAGGAAATGAAGCTTCCCATACTCAGACTCATCCATGATTATTTATAGTAGCTTTGATTCTGTGTGTGTGTGTGTGTGTGTACGTATTCACTTATCATATTGAACACTTTAAATAGGCACAGTTTGGGGCCACACCTGGTGGTGTTCAGAGCTTACTCCAGGTTCTGAACTCAGAGATCACTCCTGGTGGTGCTCAGGGGATCATATGGGATACTGGGATCAAACCCGGGTAGATGAGGTGCAAGGCAAGTGCCTATCTACCGTACTATCACTCTAGCCCTATTTATAGTAGCTTTACCTGTAACATCAAGAACTGCAAACAACCCAAGCGGGAGTAGATTTTTTAAGAATAGAATTTTCCTCACACCACTGACTACTACTCAGCAACAAAAAAAGGATGGATCACTGACACACAGTGACAGGGTGACCTTCAGAGTAACAAGAGAGAAGGCCCCAAACAACAAGGTAGAGCGTGAAGGGCTTCATGCAGAAAGCAGACTGGTGGTTATCTGGGGAGCAGAAAGAGCGATGGCCCAGCCAGGGGCAGAGGTGTCTGAGGATGTACGGTCATCATCTTGGTGGTTTCAGGGCTGTTGACACAGGTCAACACTTATCATATTGAACACTTTAAATAGGCGCAGTTTATTATACGTCGTTTATGCATCAATAAAGTTATAAATGAAAAGTACAAGAGAGCCTTGTTGAACAGACTTCAGACTGCAGTAAGATGCTAGCAAAATGCCAGGAATGGAAATAAAACAAAACCAGTCAGCAGGTGAGATTGCATCTGAGGACAGGTGTGCTAGGCTGTGCCTCTCTTCCCTGGCAGGCCGGCAGGCAGGCAGGCAGGAAGGTGGGGAGGGGTGCCAAGGAAGCTGCCTCTAGGTGCTAGGATCCCCCTGCGTTCAGAGTCGTATCCTTTTCTTAAGAAATTGTGTCCTGGGTCTGGAGCGATAGCACAGCGAGTAGGGCATTTGCCTTGCACACAGCTGACTTGGGTTTGATACCCAGGATGCCATAGGGTCCCCTGAGCACCGCTAGGAGTAATTCCTGAGTGCATGAGCCAGGAGTAACCCCCATGCAAAGCTGGGTGTGACCCAAAAGCAAATAATAATAATAATAGTAATAATAATGAAGTTGTGTCCTTAAAGAAAAAAAAAAAGAAGCTGTGTCCTCATCGCTAATCATCTGGGAGATGCAAATCAAAACAACAATGAGATATCATCTCACCCCACAGAGAGTGGCACACGTTCAAAAGAACAAAAGCAACCAGTGCTGGCGTGGATGTGGGGAAAAAGAGACACTCTGTCACTGCTGGTGGGAATGCTGACTGGTCCAGCCTTTCTGGAAAGCAACATGGACATTCCTTCAAAAACTAGAAATTTAGCTTCCATAGGACCCCACAATACCATTTCTGGGATTATATCCCGAGGGTGCAAAAAAGCACAGTAGAAATGATGTCTGCACCTATATGTTCATTGCAGCACTGTTCACAATAGCCAGAATCTGAGAACAACCCAAGTTCCCGAGAACAAATGACTGGTTAAAGAAACTTTGGTACATCTACACAGTGGAATATTATGCAGCTGATAGGAGAGATAAAGTCATGATATTTGCTTATAAGTGGATGGACATGGAAAGTATCTAGGTGAAATGAGTCAGAGAGGGATAGACACAGAATGACTGCACTCATTTGTGGAATATAAAATAACATAATATGAGACAGACACTCAAGGTCAGTAGACACAAGGGCCAGAAATAATTGCCCCATAGTTGGAAGCCTGTTTCATGAGCTGGGAGAGAAGGCAGCTGGAATAAAGAAGGGATCACTAAGTCAACGATGGCTGGAGGAATCATTCGGGATAGGAGATGTGTGCTGAAAGTAGATAAAGGACCAAACGTGATAATCTCTCTGTATCTATATTGCAGATCATAATGCCCAAAAATAGAGAGAGATAGAGAGAGAGACAGAGAGAGAGAGAGAGAGAGAATGAGTATGGGAGGAAACTGTCATAGAGGCAGAGGGAAGGTTGGAAAGGGGGGCATATTGGGGACATTGGTGGTGGAGAATATGCACTGATGGAGGGTGGATGTTTGATGACTGAAACTCAAACATGAAAGCTTGTACTGTATTGCACAGTGATTCAATGATAATAATAATAATAATAATAATAATAATAATAATAATAAAGAAGTTGTGTCCTTTGGAAAAGCCACCTGCACTTCTATGTTCATTGTAGCAGTACACTATTGACAATAGCTAGAATCTGATTTCCAGTGCCAGGAGCTGACCAATCAGATTGCAGAAAGTTGCCCAGGGTTGTTCCTTCTACAGCCCCACTTTACCAATGGGTGACACACATCTATTCGTCATGATAATGAAGTTGAGAGGAGTAGGAATTGGAGTGAAAGTACAGTGGGTAAAGTGTTTGCCTTGCACGTGGCTGACCAGGGTTTGATTCCCCAACCCTCGATGGTCCCTTGAGCCTGCCAGGAGTATCCCTGAGCATAGCTGTGTGTAGCTCAAACCCAAAGATAAATAAAGTCACCAGACAGAATAGGAAAAAGGTGCTGGGGTTCACGGTGGTAGAATCTACCAGATCCAAAGTGAGCAGGGTTACCGTGAGACCCACTCTTAGGGCCCTGTGCTTTAGGGCGACACAGGTATGGAGACATGAGCCCCAGCCACACAGGAATTCAAGTCTTTTTTGTTGCTTTTGGTCCACACTTGGCTGTGCTCAGGGGTCACTCCTGACTCTGCACTTGAGAACCGTTCCTGATGGTGCTCAGGGGACCATATGTAGTTCAGGTGCTCGAACCTGGGTCTACAGCATGCAAAGCCAACACCCCACCCATTGAACTATCGCTCCGGCCCAGGCAACCCAAGTTTTGAGCTTGAGAAGTGGTTTCTCCAAGATGGAAGAGCCAAACTGACCACAGACACACCAGGCGGGTTTCGGCTGCTCTCCCGGCCCCAAGATGTCCGAGCAGCACCTGGAAGGTCAGTTTGGATCCACAGAGGGTCAGATGGCCCCTTACTGTTTGAAAATCTCAGAAATCTGATGAGCAGCTGAAGATACTGAGAACTCAGCTGCTTGGAGCTAAGAAGCTGAACCAGGGCCGGGGAGGGTTGGCTCAGGGTAGAGCGCATGGGTTTGAGCCCCTGCACCACCAAAAACAAAATTCTGGGACCAGCAAACAGTTCCTCGTGATTAGAGAGGAGACACTAGTATGCTGAAAACTGCATGGAGCTTAAGCCGTTCTAATCCAGGGAATGACTGTCTTTTCAGCCATGAGCTGGCACAGGCAGAATATTAAGATTTATTTGTATTAGCCAGACACCATTACAGAGAGGAATATTGAGGTCACTGGAAATAATCTCTCAGCTTCCTGCCTCTCTGCCCCTCTAAGTCATCCACACTCACACTCAATCATCTTTCTTCCTTCTGCCTCTCAGGTCACAGGGCTCTGCCTCTCACTGAGGAACAACCCTCTTGCGTTCTTGGCCATCCGCTGGATCCCCTCCAGGACGTTTCCCCCAAATTCCTATCCTCTCCTGCACCTTCCCTTCCTCTCCTTAACAGGACCTCCCTCGAGGGCACATAAACATGCTCCAGCCTCTCTAGCTGATGAGGAGCGAAGGAGGGAGGAAGATGTGGAGGGAGGGAGGGAGGGAGGGAGGGAGAGGAAGGGGAATGTAGGAAAGAAGGGAGGAGGGAAGGGAGGAAAAGGAAGAAGGGAAGGAAGAAAGGAAGGGAGGAAAGGGGGAGGAAGGGGAGAAAGAGAGGGAAAGGAAGGAAGAAAGGAGAAGGAGGAAGGAAGGAAGGAGGGAAGGAGGGAAGGAGGAAGGAGGAGGGAAGGATGGAAGGAGACAAGAGCGAGGAAAGGAAGGAATGAACTCTGTCCTGTAAGCACCCTGCCTTTCTTTGACTCCCCCCATGCCCAAATGCCATTTATCTTTATTTTCCTCCTTTCCTAGCTGAGCACAAAGAGAATGGACTACAGATGACACTTTCAAATGATGCTTCTATTTACTCCTCTCCCTATAATCTGGCATCTGCCCCAAGATTCCACCAAGTTGCTCCAGCGACAGTGACTGGCCAGGTGTCCAGCTCAACAGACCTTCCTATCTGCGTGGATGTCGCTGTGACATCCACCGTGAGACCCAGAGCCGCTGCCTCGTTCCTGGAGCTCCTTCCGCCCCGCTCCCTTGAGCCGCCGTTTTTGCTTCTGGCTCTGCATC